AGCATCTTGAGTATCCATTCTTCTACTACCAGGGGTACATTCCTGGAGTGTAGTTGCTGGGTAATTATTAGAAAGGTTGTTTTATCAAACGCTCCCTCCATATCTATGAATATACCCAGGGTGGATTTTTATTGTCCAATGATCTTTCGATTCTGCCAACCACATGGTGAAGGGCTGAATCAGTAGACCTTCCCGGAGTATATGCATGCTGATTTTGATGAAGTGGGTTGTGAACTAGTACTTCATCTCTTATGTACCACTCACATAGCCTCTCCATAGTTTGAGGCGAGTAAACCAAGATAAACAAAAATCGCTAATCGAATGTACGTATTTTTCGAATATTCCACTACATTATTGAAGTTGTCCGAAGTCGGCAAATGGCTTTCCATCTACAACAGTCTGTCACAGCTTTCAGGGATACTTGTGAAAACTTGGGCATCCGAAGAAGAAATGCAATGGTGAGAGATCAGGTGACACAGATGGCTGTCTCACTAAACCATTTTGTGATACCAAAAGTAGTATCTGATTACTTCAAAATTCAACATGAATCGTGCACCCTTGCATTTCGAAGTTCGCATGAAACAGTTTTCCTAAACATGGGATTGGCAAAGTTTTCTAGTTATTCTATATAAAAAGTTCTGCATGGGCTTTAACCTAAAATGCAACTATCAGATATCGATTTTTTTTTCCAGTCGTATACGACAATATTGATTTTATCCAACAGTAAGGTATTTTTTTTTCGAAAATATGGGAAACTTTCATCTGTTATCTCTTTATTCGTTGAAATGTTGATAACCTTCACGTCTTTTAACCTCGATGTTGCATCATTCGGATGATGCATTAAAATTATTCATACATGACCAAATTATGTTTTCTACAATAATTATCAACTACTTAAATACAGTGCTAATAATGTTAATTGCGTATCAAACGTGTGATAGTTCCACATTTGTAAATGGCCTGTGTTGATATACGTTTTCTTTCAAGTAACCCCAGAAGGAAAAATCTAATGGCCAAATAATCCAAAAATATCGGAATATCTATGAATTAACCTTTCATCAAAGATATTATTAAGGTAGTATTGCCTCACTTCCATCGTTCATGTCTTGGAAGACCACGAAGCGAATCATGCAACTGATTTAGTAAAAAAATTAGATATTATTGAAAAGTCATAGACTGTCGAAAAAGGGCCAGCCCCAGTTGCGAAGACACTGTTCCATTAGACGTCAATGTAGTTTCGTCGGAAAATTCGCTTTCCTAGCCAAAAGAGGATCGTCTTCTAGCTTTACTTGGCTAAGAAAACAAAATTCTAGTCGTCTGTCGTAGTCTCCAGTTTTTAACGTATGGATATATTGTGATTTATATGGATGAAAATTGTTTTCTTCAAAAATTTTTGATATTGTATCTTCACCAATTTTAACTAGAAGCGAAGATACCCTTTTTCACAGAGACAATTCAGGTTTTTCCACTACAGACACATTTACATTGTTATAGTAGATAAAAAAATAACCTTTGCGTCTCGGGACGCCCGACAGAAGCGATAACTTAAACTAATCCAGGTTGAACAATCTAATATTGAAATTGTATAACTTGAGAAAAGCTTAAGTTATTACCTAAGCGAAAGCCAATTTATCACTTACCAATGAAGTTTCTTTATATGAAAGATCCTATCTTTTTTTCGATGAGGAATCATCTCCTTGAATGTTTTACACTTATTCAGTTACACCCTGTATACACTGTGTAATGTGCTTGTGAATGAAAGCTTGTAGGTACTTGAAAATATGTTATGGTGTTAATTTGTTCAAAATATGTTTTTTCCGCTAACCAGCTGTCGCACCCCTACAAACGACAAGTCGAAACTTGTGCGAGCTAAGGACTAACAAGGTCTTGGAGGTCTTACCTTTCGACTCGTGTTTTTCAGTATCAATTTATTGTAAAACGCTTTCATAAATGACTTTTTTTTGGTAGACTCATTTCTATATCCGAACCTCTGGTGTAGAATGATTTCAACACAAACATTGTTGTCACACACCAGGAGTGCAACATTCTTCTCGACGACATTCATCCTCATATACAAACACATCCACTGTTCAACAATCTTCTTCAACAAAGAAAATTGCATTCATGGTGTGTGGGAACAATGTTTCTTCAGTTTATAAATGACCTTGATAAGTTTATAATAGAAACCGAATTTTTTTCCTTTTTTGAAGCTACCCCTTGAAGGCTTTAGAAAATGATGATGCCTAGTTCCTTTTCGAGACCCTCCTTTGTATTTCAGAGCCCGAAAGCACAGTCTAGTAGAGTCTTGATGATTCCTCTCTTAGTCGATTGATGGTGGTTGGATTTCTGGCTCAGATACTGTCCTGTGTGAGTGGGTTTTCGATATACAGATGTTTCCCATTTAGAATCGGTTCTCTTCACCAATACATCTAAGGAAGGCAATTCGTTGTAGACTTCCTTCTCTATTGTGAAAGTGGTTGAAGGACTTACGTTGTTGATGTGCTTCAGGAAAGTATTTAATTCTGCATTCCCATGGTTCCATATTATGAAGGTGTCGTCTACGTATCTCAACCAGACTCGGGGCTTTTTGTGGGCATCTTCAATGGCCAGAGTTTCAAACCACTCCATGTATATATTGACTATAACCGGTGAAAGTGGCGATCGGGAGTCCCTCCTCTTGCGTAAATAATTAGTCCTTCAATTGGAGGTAACAGTTTCGTACACAGCATCGTAGAAATTCCATGATTACTTGTATCGGTAAGTTTGTTCTATCTTTCAGGTCCCCATCTTCGGATAGCTTTTTTTGTATGATTTGAAGTGCTTCTTCGACAGGAACGTTGGTGTAGTTTCAATTTCTAACATCAGCAATGGAGAACGAAGAGCCCTGAACGGGTTACGTAGAGACAACACCATCAAGATCTTACCTGCAGATAAGGGAAACGCTACTGTTGTGATGGATACTGATGGATACGATACTGATGGATACGAACAGAATATCGAAGAGGTGCTTCAGAAAGGAAAATACATGAAGATCGTAAGAGACCCTACTGCATCAATTGAAAGGAAGTTGTACCAGACTTTGAAAAAACACCAAATCTATTTTTCGGAAAAAAAGAGATCATCGCTAACGCCGCACCACAGTAAGCCCCCTCACTTGTATGGACTTTTCAAAATCCACAAAAAGGATGTTCCGCTCAGACCGATCATTAGCTCCAGAGATTCAGCCACTCAGAACTTGTCCAGATTTTTACTACCAATAATTGCACTACCACTGCAAAGAAAAGCATCATCTTTTGTGAAAAAGTCAAGGCATTTTGTTGAACTGCTAGATGAAATCGAAGTAAAAGAGCAGAATCAACTGATCATTTTCGACGTGGAAACGTTCCTGTCGAATAAGCACTTCAAATCATACAAAAGAAGCTATCCGAAGATGGGGACCTAAAAGATAGAACAAACTTACCGATACAAGTAATCATGGAATTATTAGGATGCTGTGGACGAAACTGCTACTTCTAACTGAAGGACGAATTCTTTACGCAAGATAAGGGACTCCCAATGGCTTTAGGCTTAAGCTAGAAGACAGCAAAAGCTCCACAAGGAAGAGAAGCCGCCACAACCAGTACTTGTACTTCCCTACATCAGAGGATTATCGGAAAGGATAAGAAGGATTGGGTCCAAGTATAACATCAGGACCTGCTTCAGATCTGGGAACACTATCCGTAGCAGTCTCACGAAAACCAGGCCACCAAACGCGGACTGCGATTCCAAGAATTGCATTTATCGGATACCCTGCGAGTGCGGAGAATCATACTTGGTTAAATGCGTTGTCCAACAACGCATTTAGCCAAGCTACCGTAGAGGTACGTAACATATGGAAACCTCTGATCAAGCGGAAAACAACCAACTCCCGCCAAATGGTCATCTCCCGCTAAAACCAATGAAGCGGAGTGAGGAAAGATGGGATAGGTGAAAGCACTCGAATGGCCTATAAATAGTCAGATCTCGGAGGAGTAAGTCTAGTTATCACCCGAAGACCATTGTGGATACTAAAAATAGAAACGTCGTGACGTAACTTGGTTTGGAATCTTTCAATTTTAATTTTTCATTTTTTGTTAATAATATTTTTTAATTTTAAATGTGAAGTACATTTCATCATACATCCATCGTTATATAATATATGAAAACATTGCCAATCAATGTCAATTTGAATATATCAAAACGACTTCATTTCATGAATTGAATATAATTTTTTTGTAATTCTGCTGTCGATGAGATATAACAAAAAATTTATGTTTTACAGGTTCAAGTATGGCCGAAGAAGTCATATCCAATAGAAAAGGTGAGTAATCTTAAATTGAAATATATCATTTTTATGAAATAACTGAGTTTCTACTATCATATGTAGTGCATTCCAGTTACAACAAGCCACCCTGAATAAGCTGATATTGAGACTATGAAAAAATCGTGAAAAACCTCCACTTTGGTTTTCAGTGGAACATATTTCTACGTAAAAACAATAACTTTTATCAGTTTCATGTCAATAAATCCAAAATGAAATTATTGTGTGTTGATGAAAGTTACACTTTTTATGATAATAATTATACAATTTTAACACCATACGAGTAAATTTCAGTCAAGACGAGATTCACTATACGCAAGTTTCATCAGTAGGTACATCAAAATATTCTTCAATGTCTTTCATATAATAGTAGGTAGTTACAAAACCTAAGAACGAGACTGATGGAATGGGTGTCATGAGAAGATGGGAGAATAAACGCAATAAGCCCAAGAGGCTGCAATGTTTTCTGGAGACTTGGACTAAATGGACAAGTCAGACAACAAAGGATAACAGACTTTATTTACAATACATATGAAAAACCATTCAAATGAAGTCTTTTGTGCATAACCTTTTTGCAAATGTTGACTTTTGTTTATATGTTTCATCGTTTTCCCTCATAAGGAACAATTCTTTTGAAAAAACTCCACGCAGCTAATTGAACTTTACTTAATTTTTGATTAAACTGTTGATCACTTAGTTGGTTTTTAATTTGTGGCCCACCACGCAACACCTTCTTTGTCTAATGCTTTTACAAAATTTTTCATTAACCCCAGTTAAATGTGTGATGGAGGTAACAAAACATTTTTGGGATTAACAAGAGGTATATTCGTCACGTTAGCTTGACCTGGAATATATTTATCTCTTGGGGGCCATTTTTTTACTCGATAATGGCTCTGTGTTGCCCTACTGTTTCAAAGGCAAAGAAATCAGCAAAACTTCATAAATCCGCCCTGATGACCTAGTTATAGTCATATGACTTTTAGGTCACCACATATTTATCACTTATACGTATTATAACTTATTGCATTTAAAGTAAGTGACATACTTTCGTGTGTTTCCATCATGGCAACTGCATGTGCAATAGGAATAGAGGGTCTTTGTTACCATTATGCAGCAGAACGGCTTTTAAACTTGTTTTAGACGAATCTATAAATAAACGCCATTCGGTATGTGCAAATCCTAATTTTTCCATCACACCATTTGGATTTACACAAACACATATTTTATTCTGCATAGTAAAAAACGAGGATAGCTCATGGTTACGGTTCCTAAATGTTGTAACTTTGGGTTTAGGGGCTAGTAAATTCCATTGTTGTAATCTAGACCCTAATAGTTCTGCATTCTCTTTGGACAAGTGGAGGTCCCGAACTAGGTCATTTAATTCAAGTTGTTCGATTGAATGGGGTGTTCTTCCTTCACTCTCAGGAAAATAAGGACCGTCTTTTTCTGGCACATCTTGGGAACCTGCCTGGTCATACATACATTTCCAAATCTTCCTCCCAATTTGCTGGAGGTGTTGGAGCTGGTAAACCTTCTCCATGAAGAACCGGCCTTCTTGCAGAAGAAATATCCGGATATTCAATTTTGTGTTTGCTCTTTCTTGAAAAACCAGACCAGTAACATTCGTTGTAATGATTTGTTGTTTCTCGCCAAATCATTGGAACTGCAAAAGGCATAGAAGAGCTACACAGGTTTGGCAACATACTTGAGGAGTCCAATTCCAATCTTGATCGCCATCAACACATCCAAAATACTTATGGTAAGCTACTTCGGTCATTTGATTATTTGGCCGTTTCTTCGATTTAGAAGTAAACTGACCACATTTATAGCAAAAACTATCTGCGGGATTAACGCAGCCACGATTCTGTACTTTGGGCATTTTTGTACTGTTACGTACGTCGAGTTCAAATATGTGATACTGCGTTTACAGGATTCAACTTATTTTCTTCACAAAGATAACACTATTATAATATTCTTAATATTCGAGTGTTTGCTCACCACGCTTCTCTAATACTAACTCACCACTACTCGCGTTAAATCCATATTGATGATCCGATTGTCAACCTGCCACTTTTATAGCGGTTCCATATTTCTGGTATTTTCTGGAAACTTCGAGTATCGGAGAAGCAGCGCGGCGTTACAAGTCTCATATACAACGGAAGCAGATACTGGGCAGAGCCGTTGTGTTGCCAGATTTTTAACAATTTCCTCAATTTAGGGGAAAAGCAAAATCGGAATGTCGTTAAAAAAATCTTACGTGTTAGGAAATTTTTACTATCATTTTCGCATTTAGGGACTGTAATGCATTTGACATTACAGTCATAAATTGGCTGTAAACTAGTGATTAATGCTTGGCATTTTATGAAAACAAGTTTAACGATGGTGAGTGAATAACTTCTTGTTGGTCGTTTAAACGGAAACTTGATTTCCGTTTAAACGGAAATATGCCGTAGTTTAAAAATCTGTTTAAAATCTGTTTTTCCGTTAATCAGTTGTCGCCCCCAGACGAACAACAACTCTCAGAAGTTGAGAAATTTGTGCAAGCTAAGAACTAACGAGGTCTTACCTTTCAACGTGTGATTCCTAACACGTCCATGTTGAAATCGTGGTTCTCTGAAAGGTGGAAAGCATAGGCGGAATTGATTTTCTTCAGTTCAAAACTTCTTCATTGTTCAGAGATTTCCGTTTTGAAAATTCTTGAAGTCCGTCCAATATAAACTTTTAGGCACGAGCAATTATTCATTATACTTTTTAATTAAAGCAGTCACTGTTTTATAACACGGTGTGTTATACGTGGTGTGATAACCTACAAATTCGAGTGACGCACTGGTTAGCTCAACAACATCGTATTTGAAGTTTTTTATTTTACGAAAAGCTAACTTTAATGAACAGTTTTTGAAAGTTTCATCATTGAAATCAATTACAACATCATCCGAATTTCACAAGAAACACTTTTTGGTCATTTTTTGACAACAATAAATAGAAGAACGTTTTTTCAATTTTTACTATAGCGACAAGCTACTCCAAAATGATGCACACCATTTACGAGTCTATCGCTAGTTTTTTCATTTTCACGGACAAATAGCATGCGTACTCTCTTTTATTCAATGGACGAACTACACACATCTGCAATGCTGCTATACTACTACTGTGATGGTTAGCCCCGGTTGCAGAAAGTTATAGTGAATCTTACCAGCTGCTGACCACTATACATGGCCTTTCTTGGTGGGTTTTCGTCTTCTGAGGGCCTGGGTGACACATTGGTGCGTAACCACTGCCCTGAACGTCTTCTGCTGTGGTAAAGGATCCACTTTTCTCACACGTGACGATCCGATCCAAAAAAGGATCTTTTTTGTTGCGCAAAAACAAAGAAGAACAAACCTCAACAATTTCTGTCGATCTGTCAAATAATGGGGCACCTACTTTTCGAGCTTTTTGACCTTTTCAATACGTTTCAAACCATCAAAAACCGCATGGGAGATGACGCCCAGTTCTTCCTTCATCCCAAGTACCGTTTGTGATGGGTCTCCACCAGGGTCCTCAAATCCTCTTTCTGGATTACTGTAGGTCTACCACTTCGGAGCTTATCTTCAAGGCTAAAATTAAGACATCTTATAGAAATAAGCTGAAAAAAGCAAAGAATTAAAATTGGAAGAAAATAAACAGCATCAATGTATATAGTACAAAATTCTCTATCGATCAGTATACACCACGACACAGTAGAATAAATATTTATTGGGATATGAAGCTGCAAAAACACAACAGTGAAACGGACAAAACTTTTGAAACCAACTAATAGTTCAAAACCAAATACAAAGTTGAACATTTTTTTTTAACATTGCTTATCGTTTTTTTTTCAAGGACAAAACACGAGCACTACAGGAAAATCCTTAAGGCGTTCTCAGAGCGGTGCCTGTGCGAAAGTAGTGATTCACATTGGATTTGAATCGCTGAAGATTAAATCCATTTGGAAACACGTCCTCAGGAAGTTTATTCTACATACTTAAACGTCGTTCTCCAGATGAAAGAGTTCTTAAACAGTGAAGTTCGAGGTGTTCTGAGCTGAACCTTAAAACGATGAGCGTATTTCTGATATGTACCGCTCTTGGTAGAATCAAATATGCCAAGTCACTTGAACATCTCCCGTGAAAGTATCTATAGAAGAGAGACAAATCTCCAACCTTTCTTCGATGATCCAGGCTATCAAGGTTGCACGTGATTGTCGCGTCTCCAATCAGGCGGATGGTTTTTTTCTGGATGGAATCCAGCAACTTCAGGGTATGTTTGGGGGCATAGCTCCATACATGAGAACAATACTCCAAAGAAGGTCTGATCTGAGCTTCATAAAGCATCAAAAGTTGTTGAGGTGTGTTTAGTTTTCTGGTTCGGAACAGTGTTCCAAGCTTTTGCGAAGCAGCCTTTGCAATTTCAGCGACATGATTGTGCTAAGACATATTGGTGTCCATTTTAACCCACAACAAACTTATCGAAGCAGAAAGAATGTAAAAATATAACAGGGTTGGATTTTGAATTCAAAGACCGTTTAAAATTTTTGATATGTTATGGGGATAGGTTGGCTGGCAAGAAGTTGATTTTACGTAGTAGTGGTTCCCTATAAAAGATAAAGTTGACGTGTTTCTAGATTCTGCCTCAATGTTAAATGACTCATTCAGGGTAGCTAATTTCAACTAGAATGCACTGATATGAAATCTGCATATACGTAAGATATGTAGATATGTGTTCAAACAATTCCAAATTGAAAAATGTATTTTGTATTTGTATAATTTTATTTTTAAATAATAATTGATTTTCAGAGGGCTTAATTTATTTCATGTTGAGATACAACTTATCATCTATAGGATCTATGGTTTTGTCAGCTTGCAAAGAAAATAACCCAGAGATTGCAAACGAAGTAGAGGTAAAGTATTTATAGGGTGTGTTAAAGAGAAATATAGTTAATGAATGTGAAAGAGAATGTGAATGGTAATCATTATTCAACATTTTTATGCGCATACGAAATGGAGTTAATTGTTTTCAACGTTTATCAAGACTTTTTAAGGGATTTCTTTAACATTTTCAAATAAGCTTATCGTTTACTTCGAAATTATCGTTCCTGTTGCTGTGATAAATTCGAAATATACATAAACCCTAGTCACTAACTGTCACTCGCTATCTGCCACATTGGTTTTTAAAAATTCATTAATATCATCAATTTTCGGAGAAAGTAATTTGGAAAGTTGTACCTCATACAATTTTATAACCATGTACCAAAATTTCATTAAACCAGGAATAAACTGGAACAATTTGGAAAGTTGTACCTCATACAATGTTATAACCATGTACCAAAATTACATTAAGCCAGGAATAAACTGATTTATTTTTGCTATTTTTTACAAATAATAGGTAGGTACCCTAAAAACAAAAGTCGATTGCCACTTCATGTGCTTAGGTACGTGTTCGACGAATTTTTTTATAAATTACAGTTTCATATTTGAGCAACACTCTCGAATTGTATTATCTAAATTCTAAGTATTGACTGACCGTAAATGGTCTAGTTTTATAAACTTTTTGTTTCAAATAACATCATTTCTTGTGGGGGTTGTTGAATCTGACGATCGGAATGGCCTATAATATTATTACTGTCTCGCCTTTTGTCTCGGGATATTAGATTGCTGCATCACTTTGCAGTATCAGTTTGGTGATGCCCCATACATTCGGCCCGATATTTAGGTTCATTTTATCCAAAACCTCTCTTTAGTTAGATAAAAAATTTGCTAAACATCAACTGCTGTCTTTCCCTGAAAACAATGTCCAACTACTTGATTGCCAAATATTCCGCATCATACATTGTATTTACATAATTAGGTTGTGAATATTAGATGAGGTTGTAATGAAATATAACGTACGTGCTTATTTTCATTATTATTATTTACGTTCAGTAACATTTGTTGAGGATTCACATATACACGTGCGCAAGCCAACCGTGAACCCTTGAAAAAGGACCAGTTCTTGACATTCTCAATTGTTGTTGGATATATTGTTGCCAAAATTTTCAATCTGGTTGTAGTGTTTTGAAGCCAGACACATTTCCTGTATCCAGACAAGGTGAGCGGTTCTCAACATTATTACAAAACCAGGATTTTCTTAGGACCAACATCGGCAATATTAAAAACATAGGTATTAATCCGTTCATTTCACAAAACGTTACATGGAAATCTTCTTCTCTTTCTCATTGGAACCAAAAAGAAAACCCCAATCTAAATTACGTATTTATGAGTTTCATTTTTCTGTTGAACCCAAAGATGGTGTTTTTAAAATAGGAGATGTCATCACCTTTTCTCCAAACACTGAAAATCTGATACAGTTCGTGGCTAAACAAGCAGTGGGATCGTTCAGTCGAAATCTCTTCTGTATATAGGGTTCCGATTTTTTGGTGAGTGTAATTTGGGAGTGTTCTCATCTCCAAGGGTAACACCTCATCTGGCAATTTTTGATTAAATTACCCAAACGCACGCCACTGCATGTATAAAACGACCCGAACACTCATAAACTATTTTGTTTGCGATAAAAAATAAGGTGGACCCGGTAAAGTATTATAAAGCCGTTTATATCTGCTGTGGCGAATCATAACGTAATCACAAAATTTTGTTTGAACTCTCTGTTAGCGTTTTGTTTTTACAATACGCATTTATTACTATTATAAAACATAATAAAGTCGAGTTGGCCACTTTTATCTTACATACAAACTCCACATTGGCTTCACAATGAGGAACACTGGAGTTATTATAAGGTCAATAAGCACTGTTCTATGCTTATGTGAGGCCCAAACTTCAACATAGGGCGTTGATTTGGTATTCCATTTATACTTCTCACATACAACAAATCGAAGCTTTTCTTAGGAAGTTGTTGAAACTCTTGATTTTTCGCATTACGGGAACTTGCTACGAAAGGGGTATTCATAACTTCAAATAAGTATGTAACAGTGTGGTATTATAAAATTTCCATGAAGTTTACTTAGAACATGTTAACTGTATCTTTATGTCATATTTTCAGCATATTTTCTTAAACATTGAACTGAAAATTTTGGAAATACAGTACTACCTATCTATCCATAATAATAAGTGAACAATGTTCACAAACATTTTTCATTTCCAGACGCGTTTCGTTAACACCGTAGCTTCTTTGTTAGAAATTTATATTACACACTAGGTTACAATTCTTATACAGGGTGTTTCCTAATTTATATTCAATGGGAATCCGATTATATGAGTAGGCAATATGGTAAGTGAAAGATCCGCGAAAATGTTTGTGAAAATTGTTGAATTATTATCATGGATAGTGTTATTAATTTTCATCAAGTAACCAATTAGTCCATTCATGACTATCTATCTATTTAAACCCCACTCTGAAATACATACAAGCCGATAAGTCTGATGCATATCTTCTCGACTATCAAAGTAAGACAACAAACACTCTTGTTTGTCAGTGGCTCTTATTTTGAAAACTATTTTCACCTCAGTTAGTGAAAGAACCAGTGACTGCATCAGCAGGTCGATATGATTTTACTAAATATCTGTCAGCATAAAAAACAACGTTATTAAAAATAGATAATGAAATAGGAATTCTTCTTTGTTCATATTGGGATAATTAAGGTTTTGGTTTTCCAAAGCAAATTGTTAATAATGAAACTAGAAACATTTTATGATCAATTCTCGATTAATCGAAGAGACCACACGCACAAACAACTTTCAAATAATTGTTCCACATAAACTCATTAATGTTTCATACGCCCGCTTCTTAAAGAAACAAGAGTAATTGAATCGGAAAGTAAATATAGTCAGTGTATGTGAATTGGAACCGTGATATTGATAAGTATTCATAAGTATTCATGTATTCATAAAAAATTCTTCGTCTTGAAGATATCTGCATTTTGAAGGATAACCGTGTCGGAACTTTTTTCTTCGTCAGTAAAAGTAAAGTAAAGGCAAGGTCAGGGATAATAAAATAACAAATGAGTGAACCACTACACTATTTCGTCCTCCTATCTCTTCAAAGGTTCATTTGGCAGCAGAAACTTTCGACTGGCATTTTGAACAGACATCACATCCCGACCAAAAAAACAATTGCCCGTTTGAAAAAATCAAGACAAAATTATTTTGCGTATCTGAAAAAAGGATTGTGGTCATGATGCACTGTTTGGAACCTTTAGTGTAGTAATAAATATTACTGGAGTTTTATCCCAACACCAAACCGTTAATTTTAACACCTCGACACATGTTTCGATTACCAAGTGATCATCTTCAAAAGGAAGGTTAAACTAATTATATATACAATATTGTCCTTATTTATAGGTATCATAGATACCTATGCTGGGTACCTGCATCTTAATTGTCTTCAAATTAATCTAGGTGTTGAAAATAATGATTTGGTGTTGGGATAAAACTCCAGTAATATTTAAATCAATATTTGATAATGAAAAAACTATATTTTTTGTTCATCTTCATAACAATACAGACACTCCAAATGAGGTTTCATTGAAAATAGGGAGATTAAGTATATCAACTTTTTTATGTTGTTTTTGGTTTCACTTCTGAACCGCTCGGTGTGAAACATAATAATATTTCATTCCATTTGAAAAACCAGACTCATACACCATGCTTCTACTGAGTACCTTGTGTGTTGGAAAATATCCCAAAAAAAGCCCAAAATTTAATACGAAACATTTTTTTCAACTTCTTATGAATGCTCGATGTGACACACACACACATACACACTGAATGAACCTTCCGTCTCTGCAACTGTAACACTTTTCCGGATGCACGTTTCAATAACCAAATTAGGGGCATTAGGAGATAAACTGTACTAATGCCTTATCTCCAACTTCGCATATTTATATCTAGTGGGACATTTACAGGAAATTAGATGAACTATAGTGTTCATATAATATAATTCATCTCCTGATGACGCCAACTTGGTTGGTAGAACACGCATCGAGAAAAGAGTTGCTGTTCTGATGTGGGGGAAATACAAAACTAAATGATGTTTTGAATTTTGAACATTTGGACGTTTCCCATTTGATTCATTTTTTTCAAAGTCTTTTGAATATACATTCAAATTATGCCAAATATAAATCGACTTTATTTCAGAATGACGCTATGGAAGTTTTGAAATGCTTGTCCGCCAAGAAGGAAAAACCTAATTACAAAACATTGATCGAGTGTTCCAAAGATATAGCGAACAAGACTGAAAAATGCTTGAATGAAAAATATCTTCCTAAATTTTTGTTGGATTTTGCAAAGGTTAAATATGAGGCGGGTGATCTGGCAATTAATTCTGGTGAGTATAAGATGTGAAATATTCGAAATGAACCTAAACTCACGACAGATTAACGATTAAGAATTATTAGATATCCACACAAAATACTCGTATGAAAGTAGGTAGGTAGGTCCAAAGTGAATAGGTGGGGTCAGGTTAGCTGCAAACAAATAAATAAATTTTTTCAACCGAGCCGAATACTTTGTGTGGTGAGTGATCTCTCAGGTCAACAGACTTCAACATCTAAAGCAATCGTCATTATGGCTTTCGGAAACAAAAATAAACAGGCGACCTTCTGTCGTATGTCACCCATATTTGGAATAACGCAATCGAGGTACAACGCCTTTGACCATGTGTGGCATGAGGATTGGCTGGCTTGTCGGATCATTTTTGTGTATGGCACTTCAGCTTCCTGAAAGAACGTTTCCTGCAAGTGGGCGTCGATGGATATCTCTCGAATACTTTCACCATCAACGCTGGTGTTCCCCAGGCATCCATATTGTCTCCAACCCTCTTTTTATTGTATATCAACAACTTTTTGGTAAAAACAAGAATCCAATATATTGCTTTGATGACAACATCACCACACTTGTCTCGTCATTCCATTTGGATTCCAGGACGTCAGCTACGGAGGCACATCTTCACCGGCAGCAGGAGGTTGCATGTCTTGATTAGGATTTGGAAGTGATTTTGAATTGGGGTGAAAGTAACCAGGTTCACTTCAATGTCACGAAAACCCAGGCATCTGTTTTCTCCAAAAAGATAAATGTCTCCGAACCGGATATAATAATGTCAGGTCAGACAATTCCGCTTTCTGCTTCGATAAAGTTAAAATGGACACCAATATGTCTTGGCATAATCATGAACTGAAATTGCAAAGGCTGCTTCTCAAAAGCTTGGAACACTGTTCCAAACCAGAAGACTGTACACACCTCAGCAACTGTTGATGCTTTATAAAGCTCAGATCAGACCTTCTTTGGAGTATTGTTCTCATGTATGGAGCTCTGGCCCCAAACAGACCCTGAAGTTTCTGGATTCCATCCAGAAAAGAGCTATCCGCCTGATTGGAGACGCGAACATTACGTGCAACCTTGATAGCCTGGAACATCGAAGGAAAGTGGGGGATTTTTCTCTCTTCTATAGATACTTTCACGGGAAGTGTCAAGTGACTTGGCACATTTGATTCCATTAAGAGCGATACATATCAGAAATACGCGACGGACTGTGGCTGCTCATCGTTTTGAGGTTCAACACAGTACACCTCGAACTTCACTTCACTCGAAGTCTTTCAGCTGGAGAACTGCGTTTATGTGGAATAAACTTCCTGAGAACGTTTTTCCAAATGGATTTAATCTCCAGCGATTCAAATCCAATGTGAATCGCTACTTTCGCACAGGTACCCCTCTGATAAGGCCTTAAGGATTTATTTTTCTGTAGTGCTTGTGTTTTGTCCTTAAAACAAAGAGTGAGAAGATGCCAAACCCTGAAAACCTGATCCGATCCTGTTATGAAGAATTAACCAAAGTTGACAGACCGTAGTACATTTTCTCCAATTCAATGAGGACCTGATCGGCGGTCAATCTGCGACTACCTTTGTACCTTTGTCAGGTAGGGCTTTAAAAATCTGTTTAAAATCTGTTTTTCCGTTAACCAGCTGTCGCACCCCCTACGAACGACAACCCTCAGAAGTCGAAACTTGTGTGAGCTAAGAATTAACGAGGTCTTACTTTTTAACGTGTAATTCCTAACACGGAATCTGTGGCGTATTTCAGGAAGACGCTCTCCTATGGCCGCAGGGTACTGACTGCATCCACCAGCATGAAGACGTTCTTATTGAGACGCTCTCCTCTCGAGTGACCTGTAGCCATTCAGGCCGAAATGTGCAGCTCTGGAATCGTGACAATTGACCACCTTCTCAAATATCCTCTTCACCAGCCATAGTGGAATATTAAAAAGATTCCAGTTGACTAGATAATATTGTGGATGTGGAACATTCAAGCTGCAAGATTCTCACATCTGACGATACATTAGATTAAGCCATGCAGACCTTTTTCGCTTCTGGTTTTCTCACGGCGAGATTGTTTCCTTTCCTGATGCAGATTCTGCTTCTGTGCCTCAAAAATGTTATGTGGGGATTTATGGTATTCTGCACTCGACGAGGTGATAGGTTTGTTAACAGGATCAATTGTTGGACAACTAACAAGCTCTTGCTTTTCCAAGCAACAAAAGAACAGCAACAGCCCTTGCTTGATAGTCCATAAAAGTTTCCACGAGTAGGGAAAGAGGGCTCATCACGGCGGCACCGCACTTTATCTTGATAAGGCTTTATGTACCGAGAGGGCACCTGGTATTTTTAGTCATTCATCTTTTCGATTCGGATACACACACCTCAGGATGAGACGTCATTCAGAAGGAGTCTTATCTCTATAGGTGATACTTCACCCGATGGGGGTATTGTAATGCTCCTCCTTGCAGAAGGGGTATAAGAATACAAAAATGTCAAAGTATCCGTGTGAATAAAATTACTATTGTTACTGTTTGTTCTTTGGTTCGTAACTTTTGTTATGTCTTGTTTGGACCAGTATAGTTGTTGAAAGGTTAATCGCAATTTTTTATAGTCACATCGTACATCGTTTTCAATCATTAATTTTGTAGTGTGGCAGAGATTATAAGGTTCAGAGTAGAATTTTAATTACTAATAAAGTTATTTAAGCTGTTGGTAATCTGTAACTAACCCTAACTCTAATGATACTAGCTTAGGTAGGGCTTAAGTATTATGCTTACTGATTGTTTCTGATATTAATTTGACTAGGTAAAGTTGACTGCTGCAAATTTTGAGATAATGGTGATATGATGCCTCAGGTGTCTCTCCCCATCAGACATTTTTGATTTGAAGTAATAAAAATGAAAACAAAATCCATATGACAGCCAACCCAACTCTTCCAACAATCACAGATCCGTTAGTAATAAATATCGATGCATTCCCACTTCTGAGTTCTTCATGAGTCCACATAGATTATCATTAACCTTTTTATTTTTGTACGTTTTTTTAATTCACCTTAAATTTGTTATAGATACTAAAGCTTGTTCAGAAGTGCTCAATACGGGAGTGCACGACGAAGAAATTCGAAACTGTGTAGCAAAATATGACAATGGCGGCATACCTGCATCAAAGGCTGAGCTATGCGAGTAAGTTGAATCAATTGATTCCTTCATATATAGATAGATAGACAGATAAATGGATGAGTACTATTCCGATCATTCACATTTTCTGTTTATTTTGGCGGGATCGATTTCCAGGATCATTAGCACGATCTATTCAAAATCATGGATGTTCAGCCTATTGGGCATCGTCAGTACCGGGCAGACGGTCCTCGATTGAAGACAAAATGAGAAAAACCAAGAAAGTACAAATATATTTTTATTTTTCATAATTTTGTCATTTTCATAATCAATCTCCTTTCATTGAAGTTGAAGTTTTCATATCTTTTCAATTTTGTTTGTATACTTTTTACAGGCTTATCATTCCTGCAGCGAAATGTGTCACAGATGCCCTGAAGAACCACTGCGAAAACAATCCTTCTACTACTGAAATCTATAACAAAGCAACTAAAACCTTCAGCAACCTTTGTAAATCAGAAAATTGAAACAATATTTTCTTTTCTATCTAAAATTTGGCATTAAATGACAATAATATCATAACTCATTTTTCAAATTTATTTTTTTTACTACACATGCTAAGAATTGCACGTTGAAAGGTAAGTAATCCTCGAACTCAATTATTTCCACAATACCAGGCATCACCGTTCATATCAGGTATAGATCAAAATGTCAGGGAAAATATATATAATTTTACGAATTTGTATTAAGCCCCCTAGTCTTCTTCTTGTGCGACAGAATCTCGAAATTGTTTCGTTTGAATTATTTTTCAGACCCTATACTGAAGTGATTGAGGAGTTTCTTTTGACGAAAATTGTTTTGGAACACAAACCTCAACACACTACTCGACGCGCATTTCACCAACCACGTTTGCGTCTTCAGGAAACACTTTCACTTTCAGACACACAACGATTTCGGCTAGAAATTCGCGGGAAATTTTCTCGTGAAATTTCCCGCTTATTTTAACTTAGCGATTCATATAAAGATAAGCAATCGGTTGTTTGAAATGGGACCTTTCTCACTGCTTATGCTATTTCCAGAACTTCGAAAGCATCCAAAAATCTAGTGTCATGTTCCGATCTCAACAATTTCAGAGTTTTCATTTATTATATGACCATTCTCCAAGGCGTCTTCAGCGACACCAGATTTTTCCGAAATCGAACATATGCAATGACTTTTTCCCAATATCGTATCTTTCTTTACTCGAGCGGAACATAACAATTCTATGCATAAGAAAGTGAACAGCACACAAAATGGGAGGACTGTCCATTGTCCATAACACAAAATAACAGAACTGAACTTTCTTATCCATACGTCCCCCTTGAGTTGTAATAAATGACCTTCGGGTCTGAATTAATCCATCCCTATATACTAGTAATTATATGTGATCCTAAATATATAATAATTATCTTAAAGATTTCCGCACAATAAAAATACACCCCCCTATATATGGTATTGTTCAGCCGAAGGTATTACTTTTGAATTTAGTTTGGTAGCGCGAGAGTTGCTGTCAGCAGATCAGAACAAATTTGGGGAATTAGTGGGTGACTTGGTCAACAGATGAAATTTTTAGCTTTCTATCTTCGCAGAGCGGGAAGAACTTGGTTATGCCACCAATTATGTATATCATCAGAGACTGGATTCAGCCACGGCTTAAATGCGTGGTCTTTAAAAGGTATGTGGGAATGAAATAATATTCGCAGAGTTTCCTCAAATCACATTTATTGATGAATAAATTAGGTGGAATAATGGGCTTGTTTCATCTCTCTAAGTACCGTAGTTTTCCCGTAATTAATTATTAAAAATCGAATATGGTGGGGTGGTGACGTCACGCCCCTATTCCCGCTTCTTGCTCGATTGACCAATAAGAATAATAGAAAAAATCAACATTGCCAAATCGTAAAATTTACGAAATCTATAATTATCAATTTAATTATGGAAATGTATATGAACCCGTTGACGTTTCAATTAATGAAAAATTCTCCACATGGAATAAAATGTACACGAAAAATCATGTTTGCAAATAAATTCTATATCTAAAATCAGTACACAAAGTCGATAGATCACAAAATATTTACCGAAACCATGATTTTATGCATTATTTAATAATATACAGTTATGAAAATAAAAAAATATAGCAAACTGGATTGAAGAATCATTTCAAATATTCAATTTGTTCTACAATCCTCAATCTGTACAACTGCAATTTATTATAAAAAAAAGATTCCTACATATATACCTCTTTCTAATATAGCTACTAAATTCAAGCGTTATAGGCTCGCTTGGGTAATCTGTTGAATCTTCCAAAACTTGAGAGGAAGGTTGAATGAGGTCAAGTATAGACAGAATTGATTGTACTCTAACTGATCCAACAAAAGCTTCTAAGGTAATAATACCATTAATCATATGATAAAATTTAATTAATTTTGTTTCATACTTTCAGTAACAGGATTAACTCCAGATAATATTTTCTGTGGAGAATACTTGAAGTTGAAATAAAAAAACTCTGTCACCAAATTCACTATTTTCGTTCCCCTTTCATTTCTAGTCACTTTTTAAATGATTTCTATAAAATCTTGAAAGAGTAGTTCTTTCTTTTCAATACTTTCACCCATTTTTTTTCTCATCATTTCATCCTTTGGGAACCTAAACTCATTATATGAAATAAATCACTTATAAACCAATGCGCTTTCTGTTTTCTTGTGCCTTTCCGCACAATTAAAATCAGCACAAGAATGCACCATATTAAATTTGGTACCGAAATAAAGAATGAAAAATTGAAACGGTAGGTAGTATATTTAGTAGGTCCCTTTTATTTATACGACATTCATTTCAGACTTTGTCTTTTATCGAAGGATGGAAAGTTTTGATTTAATTTTTATTCTATCTTGGCAAAGGAGCAGTATGGTGACTGAAAAGAGAAGAAAAAATGTACAGAGAAATGTAGAATTACTCCAGAACATATCAATCTAAAAATAACCTAAAAAATATTTTTCGGAATGTAAACTAATGACACGGAATATGCAGCAAAATAGGTAACCACCGAGACCTATGTTTTACAAAAAAAGTTCTGTAATCATATAATTGTAACAGTTGTATTCACACCAAGTTGACAACAATAACAACAAAAAATGGCGTCTGTCAAATTGGATCATCAGATATGTGATTGGATATTAAAAACCAATACACTTGGCAACTCCGCTCTAGACACGATCAATTTTATTGGCCAACAGACACGCAGCCAATTTATATTCTTGTTTTGTGAATTATTTTTTTTTCTGCAAATATAAAGAGATGTTGGGACCGATTAGGCTTGATAAGTATAATATACCCCTAACTCGATGACTGAAGTTTAAACCTAAACAAAGCAATATTGATATTATTCTCTCATATCTGATTTACTGAACATTATTCAAACTGTGTTCAATTTGAAAAAAAAAGAAATATGTAACTATAACCATGTGAAAAAATATAAACAAACAAATTAAAACAATATGAGGAACTATTAAGAGACCCACTTAATCGCTACTCCCTGTATAATGTAAGAAAAATGTTATAACCATCTTATAATCCAATAATGAAAAAGGGAACCCGATTCGTAGCTACATGATAAATTTCCAACAGTACCCTAGGTGCCAATTCGAAATTGTAAAACACATACGCATGCAATAACATATACAATATAGAGTAAAATTTATAAGATACGCTCACCAACTAATCGTAGATGGACTCTCCTGAAGTCTCCAACAAAAGACACTTTTTTCCGAAACTGTTCCAAACTTTTGCCAGGAACTCGAAAATGTTCCCTCAATCAACTATACCGAAATAAACCGCGAATAAACACCAGTACCGAAATCACTTCGCGAATTTCCTCAATAATTTTGCTAACTCTGTAGGCAGTCCAACTGACCCAATTCCGAGTTGGTACGCTCCTGACTTTTTACCTCAAGTCAGCTAGCCAAATAAAACACGAATAACTCCCAAATATCGAGATCACTTTTCGAAAACGTATTTCACTCTATTCAAGAATTTCACAAAGTTCTGCAGGAAATTCAACTGGCCTACTTCTGATTTCGTACGCTCCTGACTTTTTACAAGTCAGCTATCCAAATAAAGCGCGAGTAACTCCCAAATACCAATATTATATCTCGAAACAGTGACTTGAAATATTTCAATTCACTCAAAACTTCCTCCTTCCCCATCCCTTTATCTCAATTCAACTAAACCACGAATATTTATCAATACTGGAATCACCTCGCGACCCAGTGTCTTGAAACACCTAGCACCTCAGTCCCTTCAAGAGCATTCCCAGCCATTTTCCCAAAGGGGCCAACCGCCCCGGTCAGCAGCCCCCAAACGACCCTGATGGGGTCCACGTACGACTGACTTGATTCTTTCCAAAACTTTCCACCTTAACTCTGTTAGGGGATGGAATTCAAATTATCTCAGAAATATTCCTACCAATCATAAAGAGTCTGAAATTATTTCAAAACCTAGTATTCTCAACGTTCTCTACATGTCCGGACATAAGTCCGCAAGAATTACCAATATCATTGTCTATAAATCCTTAGACAATGCCAATATATTCCCGCTATTTCTAATGTCGCGAGCCTGCTACTGATATTTATATGTCACTGCAGGGGTTATTTTTAAAATGTCCATCTCTCTGAACTCTCAAAAAGTAAATCTGGTTCACTACTTAGACACTAAGTTATTCTCAATGGGGTATATAGACTGTATAATATATTTTCGACCCTTAACGACATGATAATGAAATAAATGATGAGTTTGAATGTTTTAAAATATCAAATTTTTTAAACATCGAGCAGTCAATTTTAACGACTTTTCTTTTAAATGGCATGGCTCTGGTTGACCTTAAGATTATTATTGAAAGCGGATAAAGGTTCTCTTCTTCTACGAGAACACATGTGTTTTGGTAATCAATATTTAACGAAAAATAATATACCTAACTTACCTATAGGTACTTTATTACAGAGTAAAGGGACATACCTGAAAGCAGCAGGTATCTTTCAAACATAATAGATAAGTCAATTAGGAAAGTTGAATTTAGTTCTATGACAAAAAATACATCGGTCAGACTAAGCAAGCTATTTAAACGCGTTTTAAAGAACACGTACCACATATGCATACGACTTCGGATACCAGAAAAATCTAGTTCGCTCACCACGCTTTGGAGGAAGGCCAAAGAATAAACTATACAATATACCTATTTCATATTCGGATTATTCATGTTGGTTGCTTATATGCAACTCGAGAATGTAATGTGTTAATAATAATATTCATTTGCTCCTGTACAAAATATGGCTTCATAAAGTATTTTCTTCATAAAGAAATACAATACAGATAAATATTGAATAACCCACGGAAGCAATGAATGTTGTTTTTATATGGGATCAGAACACAAAGTGTAGTAGTAGTTGAAGCAGTATTGAAATAAATATAAAAGTTTTAAAATGTTTATAGTCAACTAGATATCGATAACAAAATAATTATCACAGATATAAACAATTTGTAAATAATCATTCCCTATTATATTTTTATGGTTTAATTGTATCAACGTACATGTTCATGCGAAATTATAATTATATATTTACCATTAATTAATACCTAAACTCTATATGGTATGTTACTACTGGTTGACATACCGCGCGCTCTTCGCTCTCTATCTCGAAAACGATTCAATATAGGTATAACAAAAATTCGAAGCAAAATTTTTAAGAAATTTATTCCTCTACAATATTGATGATGAATATAAACAAAATTAAAACCAATGTATGAAACGAGATGGATGTAAAATCACCACGGCTTGTTGAAATTTAAAAAAAATAATCTACAATAAGACTACAGAACAATTCAGCACAGACCCGGATATGGAGACCTCAACCAAAACTTCTTCATTTCTGAGATCTGTTCTTGCCTACGAATTCGTGGTATCACTGTTTTTTGGCGAGGGTATTTGCAGCAACATCAACCCTAGTGATGTACGAGGACTTAGTGATGTACGAGGACCTGGTGGAACTAGACGAGGATGAAGGTGAATTTCAACAATGGAAATTATTGTGGAGGGGCAAAAGCCCTCCGGACCGGCCTTCTTGGGCCATTGAGGCTGTCGGAGAGTGCAATACGCAATTGTATCCCCACATTTATATGTTGTTGAACATCTTGTCGACTCTACCAGTAACCATGTGCACCCCGGAAAGGTCATTTTCCACACTTAGGTGCCTAAAAACCTACCTACGGAATTCTTGTGGGAAAGAGAGGCTAACCGGGTTGGCCCTAATGGTAATTCACAGTGATGTCATCATCCCAACTAATGAAATTTGAGGTGTTTGATTTTTAAGACGAATATATTAGTAGTTTTTTCAATGGAGGGCTTTTTCCGTGCGAATGTAATTCGTTTGAATTAGCAGGTCTTTTTTAATGAGACCCCTCGAAACAAAAATCTCGGCACGGCCTTGAACCTAATAGTGCTAGCGAAACGCGTCTAGAAATAAAAAATGTTTGTGAAAATTGTTTAATTATTATCAAGGATAGTTTCATTAATTTTCATCAAGTAACGGGTCATTCCATTCATAATGAAAAAATATAGGTACCTATCATTTTTTATAGATACTCCTAGTCTCATTCAAGCAAATCTTTAAAAAATTGATCTCAGATATGAAATATTTCCTCTCGCGTTGAGTTTAATTTCTCTATCTCTCAATATAAACGTAAACGCTCTTCAAAGATGTGTAGATCATGTAGGTAAAGAAGTTACTCCAGCAATTCAAATTCAATGTGAATCGCTATTTTCGCATAAGCACCGATCTTTGAGCGCTTAAAGGGTTTTCCCGTAGTGCTTGTGTTTTGTCCTTAAAAAAAACTTTGAGATACAAACTCGAGAGAAAAAGCACTCTCGAAACAACTACTTTCATATAAACATTAAATTACATAAAAAAGTACTTTTGAAACAAGTACTTTTAGATGAACGTCGAATTATACATGAGTAGTTTGGTGTTGAAGAGACAATAAGATAAGTATCTCATTCCGAAACATCGATGTTCGTCATTGAGTATAACAGTGTTCCATGTAAGTGAAATTTTATATTTCGCATTATATATAGTGTAGCGTTCCCGTTAATGATATCTGATTCAATTCCATAACGAATGTTTGGAGTAGGTACAAACTGAATAGGAAAAAATGTTTTAATATAATTCAATATGCATTCAAAAGTATTTGTTATTGATTCGAAAAGAAACTTGCTAGTAATATTTTACTATCACAAGTTATAAGAGAATGGTATTATTTTTATTTCAAACATGACAAGAAAGGTGTGAAAAACTTCAAAATTTCTGAAATATTCAATAGTTGTGTCCACAGTGTCATCAAAAACAATGAAGATTGACTCTAACTGATACAATTATTCACTGTAAGATTTTCATTATAAGGATTTTACAAAAACCGAGACATGTGTTTCGCTATGCAATGGCCTCCTCAATGCTAAAATAACAAGAAGTTATTGTATATCAAAACACGTGTCACGATTTTCGTAAAATCTTTTCATTGAAAATCCTACAGTGAACTGTATCAGTTAGTGTTATTATCATCAAGTATCGGCCAGTTCTATGCAAAAAAGATTGATATGACCATTGAAAATATACATGATTACAGTAATAAAACTAAGTTCAATAAAAATTTGCGCAAGCATATATATTGTTATGAATGGAAAATATTTAATTGTTTTGTGAATTTAGAGAAAAACAGATTTTTCAAAAAAGTACTCAATTTATGAAATACAAATCAGTGAAAACAAAATTTTCTTGTAAACAAAAGATGTTCAATCTTTGACGTCTTTTGTTATAAAATTTCTTATTCAAAATAAAATTCAAATATTTAGAACACATTGATATTTTTTAAATTCAAACAAACTTTCGGTGTTAGTATCGCAAGTGAAAAAAATAATTTCAACTAACTCGATTTTGTGAGAACGAGAGACAATTCCTAAATTATCATTGAACGAAAAATTCGTTTGAAAATATTTGTCGATTTCATTTGGTAGTCACATATAGGTATGTATATATATGGTATGTATACATAGCTGGGCATTAACTCGTTAATCCGTTAATCGTTAATTAACGAAGTTAACATTTTGATAACGAATTAACTTTTAAGTTAACTTTTAAAAATGTTAACGGACATGTTAACTTCCGTTAATATGCAGAAGCCCGTTAATCGTTAATCTAATGCCTACTATTTACCGGCACCGCGGCGCGGCGCGAAAAACAGGTTCAGACAAGTATGAAACGAATGACAAGTGCCGAGCGGCGCGTGGCAGCGCGTGAAACAAAAACAAAACTAGATATATTTTGCCGGCACGTGCGAGTGAGAAAACTGCGAAGATATTTTTTCGTTTGATCATTCCATTACTTAGCGCCAGTGCTTAGAGTGACGAATGTTTTGTTTGTTGTTATTATAAATTACTCTCAGTGATCATTTGCGTGTTGATAAAGAAGAGTGAATGTAATTTAGTTAGAAAAAGTGTAGGCTGTGCAGTGTAGTAATTAAAACCATATCATGGAAGACATGGAATCGGAATTCAGCGGTCCTGATGAGAATCCATGGCCACATTTGACTGAGTATGTGGAATTTGTATCCAGATCGGGCCAGCAAATAATTTTTGCGTGTAAGCGATGCTTGCCGAAAGACACCAAAATAAAAGTTCATGTATCAAGCCTGAATAATTTGAAACAACATGTAAGAAGGGTACATGAGTCACAGTACGTACAGTTTGAAGAGACTGTAAAGGCGGCCTCTAACCGGGGCAAGACAAAAAGGAGAACTTATTCTGCCGATGATGATAGCACAAGTAGCAGTAATTCTAATCCCGTTAAAAGAAGAATTCAACAGGGTCGACAGCTGAGCATCGGGGAATCGTTCGGGATTGCAGCTACTGGCAGCGGTGTAAACAAAAGTTATTTGGGCATGACAGTTCACTGGTTAGATGCTATCACAAGAGCCAGAATGCATGCAGTATTAACGTGCATACGCCTAAAAGGTCACCATACATACGACATCCTGGCCCAAGTAATGATAGATATTCACTATGAATTTCACATAGATAAAAAAATCACAAGGTCAGTTAAGTCTATTTTTCGTGATGTGAGTGAGTGAGTGCTACGGTGATGTGGATCGGTTACGTAATCCTTACTTAACATTATAAATGTGAATGTGAGTTTGTTCGTTTGTTATGCTTTCACGTAGAAACTACTTAGCCGATCAACATGAAATTTTGTACACATATTCTCAACGTACGCTACCTTAAAAAGCAGGCTTAATTTTATTTTAGGACTACTCCGTAGTAGTCTGCCATTATCCGTATAATGGCAGTAACTTTGTAAAGGCATTTGTGCAATTCGGCTCGGAGATCGACATACTTCCAGAGTTGCCATCATGTGATTTAGAGTCTGAGTTTGACCCTGATATTGCCAATCTTTTAAATCCAAACTCAGAAGAAAATGATGACTTAGAATTTATTTCAGTAGAAAGCATACTGAATGCTCCTGATCGTCTCCAGTGCAATGAAATCAATGAACAGATATTAGAAAACTTTAATACTTTGCCAGTTCACATGAGATGTGCTGCACATACGTTCAATCTGGTCGCTAGCAAAGATGCAGATGCTGCTCTACAAATAACTGTTTTCAAGACTCCCTACAGAAGTGCCTTAGCCAAGGCACGTACTCTCTGGAATCAGCAATCACGTAGTACGGTAGCGGCAGATAGCATTCATGCTGAATTAGGCAGACGACTTGTCCTTCCAAATACGACGAGGTGGAACTCTCTGTATGATGCTATTGTCGTTCTCAACAGTATATTGGAAACAAAAAGGCCTTCTCTTCACAGGGTTATGACTCAACTAAAAATTCTAACTTTCAATGACCAAGATGTGACTGTAATGAAAGAGTACGCAAAGGTAATTTCATATATGTATATAGTTTAAATTAACGTTTTAGTAAAGTTATTTTCTTTCCACATCATATCAATACTTATATTAAATACTTATTTACAGGTTATGGCACCTGTCGCGAATGCCCTCGATCGTATCCAAGGAGAAGCTCAAGCATATCTCGGATCACTACTACCGACGATTGCAGCAACTGTCTATAAATTAAAAAATATTAAATCTAAGGGCCTAGTAAATTGCACAGCTTTAGCCAATGCCTTATTAAATGGCATAGAGAAAAGGTTTGGTCCACTCCTGAATGATGAACAGTGCCTACTTGCCGCGGCATTTCACCCAAAGTTCCGGTTGATATGGCTGGAAACGTATGACAGCAGTAGAGTGGATGCAGTAAAAAAGGTCATGGAAAAAAAGGTAGAAGATGCTTTACGACAAGAAGCAGCGGAAAATTCGAAGGACAGAGATAGTTTAACTGGCGGAGGGAGCAATGCGAGTAACAACGATGATGACGAGGAGGAAGACTTTTTCAATTCTGTCACTCAGTCTATAGAAAAACCAAAGAGCTCCAACTCTTTAAAGTGTAAAGCGCAAAGTCTCGTTAAAATGTGGCTGGACATGAAATCAAAAGACTCGTTCAACGATGCTGCATTCCTCGGGGAACAGATATTTATAAATCTATTTATTAAATACAATACTGCTATACCCTCAAGCGCTGCAGTTGAACGTCTGTTTTCCACGGGTAAAGACATTTTAACACCAAAACGAGCCTCGCTTTCAGACGAGAACTTCAACATGTTAATGTTCATGAAGGGGAATATGCACCTTATGCCCGACGATTAAATTACACATTTGAATTATACAAGTATTTTGTTTTATTCCTAACCTGTTAACTTCCAGAACCTAAACCAACAAGTTGTATAAGTTCACAAACGCAACGATATAAAAATGCAATTTTACACATATTAACGGATTAACGATTAACGTTAACTTGCGTTAATTCTTCCGAAATGTAACGCTTTAACGCTTAACGAAGCTAACTTTTTTTGTAGCGGATTAACGATTAACGAAGTTAACTATTTGATTAACGGTGCCCAGCTATGATGGTATGTCCAATTTCCAAGTCTCCTATCTTCATGTCTCTCATTGATTATTCATCATAATCTTCTGGACCCAAAATGCATTGTACATGCATTTCTTATCTTTTGTAATTCTATGTGTCACATGTGAAAGAAGTATGATGAGCTTCCCTGTCCCTTCCTCAAAAAAGCCCTCACCATAACTATCTAGATAAAACCGAAACATTCGTGATCCAACAACATTAGTGGTGTTTGGCTGAACCACTGATGTATTAGTAAACTCATGAAGCCTTGAAGACTAAGCCTAGTTGAGTGAAGACCATACGCCATCTATAGAATCGACAGAAGAGTGAATCCTTGAAAGATAAACGAGGGTCTATACGGTGATCAAAGCCAAGCTGTGTTAACTGTGCGACTTCTATTTCCTCTATAATGGTAGCGTATATCAGTATTTCTTTGAGAATACAGCCCTGTACCTTAAATCGTTATTCCTCTTATTTTCGACGCTTGGACGCAGCAGTTGCTTTATTGGATATTGAAGGTACTCTTGTTAGCAAATTCAGCTTCTACAGTGAATCGACAACACTCAGAAAAATCCTCACATGAAGAAGTCGGTCGCATCCAATTCCCAGTACTTGTCCAAATCTTCCTCAATACTCCGCCACCACTCATCGTATTTCGTCAACAGGCGTCAACTCCTGCATTATAAGCATGTCAATTCCATGCCAGAACTCCCCACACTTCGACTTGAACTTCACGAAGCAAATGGAAACTCACTCCAATTCTTGAACATCTTACTTACGATATTCAACAATTTTTCTCTGACATATAGACATATTAGAGTCACGAATAATCACAATAGATCCAGGGGACTGGACAAACTCAAATCTGCCCTTAATCAAAACGACTGAACCAACTCCCAAAGTCAAAGTTTACTCACACTATTGTGTAATAGCATGAATAAATATCTATCTATCTATCTTGATTGGTGAAATGTATGTCGAGAAGAGAGTTAAAAGTTGTTGGTGTATTTATTTTGGACTTTTTTCTACACCAGAGGTCCCTGTCCTTCCTTTCAGCATAAAGTTAAAACTAGCACTTCCATTTACAAAGCCCATCATTTTATAAAGTCGTTATTTCAATTTCAGAATATATAATTTTTTCTTTCTACTAACTTGGCAAACCATTTCTCAATTGGTAATATTTGCCATTTTTGAGAATGGCAATTATTAAAAATATTTTTGTCAATTTACTCAAAAAACAATGGTATTTTGCTGGCTGATATTAAGGTTTCAGCTTGTTTCAATGAAGTTTATCCCTTGCCAATAAATCATTGTTATTTTTGCTCATTTTTGAAAGCCCGTAGTTTCTGAGACTTCCCAATTACTAGAAGTGGAAGCTTGTGGGAGACTGAAGCGTTCAAACACAAGGCGAAAGTAAGCCATTCTTTCTTGAGTCATGTGGCAGACACTTTAAATTTAGCCTTCCATCACTGACTATGAACTCCATGCTTTCTTTCGTTTTTGAATGAAAAAAAGTTGCCTTTTCTTTAAAAATTGGACCAAAAATTGGACTTCCTCTCCACTGCTACTACATCATTCTGTCACAAAGTGTGTCGAATCAGTCACAGCTTTGTCTGTCTCTATGTGAGTACATACATTGTCTAAGGATTCCAGATAGGACTCAATTTTTACCACCTTCACTTTTTATGCCAATAATCTACCAAATTTCAAATAACTTTCAATAAAATACGATGAAGTAGAACTTTCCGTTTCATCAGTAGATAAATTGAAATACCTTGGTATATATATTGACGCTCATCTAAAATGGGATGCACATATTGATTACTTAGTCAAAAAACTACGATTCGTTACATATAGATTAAAATACATGAGACCATACCTACAAACAACCCAGATGCGAATGCTATACTATACATTGTTCGAAACCCACCTAACATACGGAATAATTGCTTGGGGAGCAGCAAACACAACTTTTCTAAAACACCTAGAACAAGCACAAAAATCAGTATCGAAAATTATCCACCTCAAAAAAAGAACTTACCCGACCGACTCATTATATTAAGAAACATCAATTCTAGACATCAGACAACTCTACTTTCTCAAAACCATAATAAGACAACATATTAATAGACATGAATTAAGGAAAATAGAACACCAATATGAAACTCAACACAAAAATAATTCATATGTTCCGAATCAAGGAAAAACACCCTTATTCATATTATTTTTACTACCAACTTCATTACTAATTTGCGACGATGGTAGCCGGTTGGTTAGTGTTAATGTTTATTGTTTTAGTGTTTAATCAATCGCTATGTAAAAAAGTTGGTTCCCAACTATTGAACCATCAGTGTTCACTGTGTTTTGTCCAACCCGTACTCAGATTTCCACCAAAAAAAAAGAATTTTGTTCAATGTACTTCACATTCTGCTTGTGCCCTTCTGGTTGGTAAAACATGTGTCGAAAAGAGTATTATAAATCTGGTGTGTAGGAAAAGTATTTGGATTTATTCTTAGAACCATACACTGCACTAATTTGATACTGTTTTTACATCACACTGCTTTTTTTCGATGAAACTAAAAAGAAAATGGTTTCAAAATAGTGCATGATGTGATGTAATGTACTTGAAGATTTTGAAAGTAAAGATGCATTATTGTTTACAATCACTGTGTATGGTTGAGTAGACGGAATGAAATATTATTTACTGAAACACAAGTTTCCTACAAAGTTGTTAGTAATATTCGGTGGAACTTCGTATAGAAATAATGCAATCTTATGAATTCATTAAACAACATTTTTTTATTCGATTATAACAATAATATTAAATTTCAATTGCAGCATCTCTCACCGTGGATAACTTCGAATTGTTTTGCAAAGATGGAAGTCGTCGCCCTATAAATGAATACCTTGCTTGCAATTGGGGAAAAGTCCCATCTGATGCTATTGTAACTTCTTCAGCCGTTTCTTTTGAAGAACGAGTCAAAATCCAAAAGTTTTTGGTGAAATATGCCGAAAAGTATGCAAAATTCAACTCTACCTACACTAGTCAAAACAATTTCGGAAATAATCAATCTCCTTATGATCCAAACCGAAGACCAGAATTAGAATATGATCAATTCGGCAACAGACTAAACAGGTACAAGAGGCAAAACTTTGGAAATGCCAATGCACAAGATCCCTACGGGAATCCATACTACAACAATCAGAACTATAATCCTTATGGAAGAAATGATCTAACGACAGAAGGAAATAATCAGAACCTTGATCCATTTGCAAGAGATCCATACAATATCAATCGGGATCAATATGGAGTCAACATTGATCCCTATGAAACTGATATTAGATATAATACAAATTCGAATCGCTTTCAGGGATCTCAAGATGATTACGATATTAATAGGAATGTAGAGAGAAATCATACTAATGGAACATACAAGCCTTTCAGTTTATTTGAATCAGTTCCAAAGTATGGAATCCATGGAAATTTATTATTCCAGGTGAGACTATCTCTTTTACTTGAAATAGACTAATCGAGATTTAGGATTTATATTTCATATGAAAATAACTATTTAAATAGATATCAACACCCACAAATATCATTCCGAGTGATATATAATGTCTTTCATAGTCACAAATTCAAATTGTTTGATTCGTCTTTGTCTTAAATTGAAAGGCGTATATTTTTAGGAGAGAATAATTTTTGAAAAAGAAAGATTTTGTCTTTCTACTTATCCGTCTTTATACAAAACATTTTGGAATCTTCCAAAGAAACGAAGAAAGTAATTAATTCTAAAATGAACTCATTACAAAGATGTGTATCATGCAAAAAAGTAATTTTCAGATACAATCTGGAAGAAAAAGCTAACTCGAATCAACATTTTTTATATAAACATTGAATTACACGAAAGAAAAATACTTTCGACAAATACTTTTATATGAAAGCTGAATTATATGAAAAAAACTTTTTTCTATTCCGTTTGTATTGCAAACATTCATAATGGAATTGAATCAGTTATCTCTCACAGGATTCCTACACAATATAATGAAAGAGTAAAATTTCACTTACATAGAACGCTGTCATTCTCAATGGTGAACATTTGATGTTTCAGAAGAGGAAACTTGCCTTATTGCCTCTTCAGCAATAACATTTCAACCCAACACAAATGAGTTAAATCTACTCATGACATCGATGACAGTATGTAATGACATTCATTTGCTCATTTAATTTAATCCCAACCATAGGAATCTTGATCTTCACATCTTTGTAAAGAAATTGTTTTGAAATTTATTGCTTTCTTCCTTTCTTTGGAAGATTCCCACATTTTTTGTATAAAGATGGAGAAGTAGAAAGTCAAAACCTGTCTTTGTCTTCCTTTGAAACTGTTGTGAAATATATATGATTACCATTTTCCTAGAACGAACAGTTTTGAGTGTGTTGTTTAGAAAGTGTTTCTGAAAATTTCAGGATGCCACAAGAGGATTTTCTCCAGTTCAGGAAAATCTCCAAACGTACAGCAATTTTTTGGGTGAATCGCTTGATACAATCATGGGGGTTAGAGACTGCCCAGTTAATAGGATGGTTTTATGTGTCACGTCTGATGCAGAGAAAAATAAATGTGTTAAAATGCGAGTAAGTATTGTCTTTTTGTAATTATGAGTAATTGCATAGCATCAAAAATTTGTGGATGAAATAACTAACAGTTATATAATCATTTAAATTCTTTTTCGTTATTTCAATTATTTCTATAATGGGAATTAGTATTAGCAATAGCATATTTAAAATCAGTAAGATTGACCATAAGAGGCTTAACCTCTAAGGGAGAAGAAACACGGGGTATTTACAGAGTGGGCTACTAGGAGACTACAGTCTCAAGGCGTCAATTCCGAGCCAATTGAATTGGAAAAACCTATAGTCAGAATACATTGAATCTTTCCTACATTGATGAGGGTTAGCTGGGGAAGTAGTTGTTTTCCAGATCCAGGCATAACTATAATGATAATAATTCCTTATTTTCAGTCAGATAATAAATTTGTGTAGAATGTGTAAATACAAATACATTATGCAAATTTAAAATGAAAGGGGGAAGACAAGCTCATAATCTAAAATTGAAATGAGTATGAGTTATTCGAAGAATGTCTGTAATGTATAAAAAGTTTTTTCCAATAAATAATTCTCTAATGATGTTCCAAACACTGAGAAACTATTCCAAGCTTTTGAATGATCTAGAGGGTAAATGAAAATGGATCTAGTATCAGAAAAATGGATCCAGTTTCGAATTTAAATTCATTTAGATACCATTCACACATGCAATAAATTCAAATTTATATGATAACTTATACTAAGCCAAAGGAGAATTGCCAAAGTAATATGCCTGTGTTGCTATTCCATTCTGAGTATTCTGCTATGGTAATTTCATGTACTCTTGTGTAGCAGTTTTCTAGTGAAGTTCAAAATAACTGCAATTAAATCATGTCATTGGATCTAACAAGACCTTGTGAGAAAAATAAACATATAAAAGAGGACAATAGTGCTCTCTTGGATATAGTTCGTATAATATAATGCTGAGTAAAATAACGGCATACTTCATCATCCATAACAAACGAAACACATATTCTGAGAAAATAACAATTTTATGAAAGGATTGTTATCTTTATTCTTGAAAATTCAGCAAATATAATCAGAGAAATCAACCATTTCAGATTGCAACATTTTTGTGATATGGCTTCTACTAAATATACATTAAGTGTCCTCGATACTTAATGACAGAAAAAAAAAATTCTCATAATGAAGAAAAGAGAATGGAAACTTTCTATGTTTTTTTTTTACCACTTTTATTTGTAACTAACGTTACTGCAGTTTTGTCCTATAAGGACATTTTCAAACTTATACATTGAACTAAAAATTATTAATTACATTAGCCTTATATACCCCGCTAGGTAATAATACAAGTACTTGGCTTGATTGGGTACCTGAATTTACAAATAGTGAGTATACTAAATGGATTTTATCATTCAACAGGTTGCACCCGCAATATTTATGCTTGTGAATTTCCAAGGATTCTAAATAATTGAGTTTGTAACCTTTCCTGGCATAGTGAAAAATTTCCGTATTGTATAGATTCGGGAACTTGTGGTTGCATGCCACGAAATAGTTTAAAAACGTCGAATAATTTCTTCCTAGTCTGAAGGACCTTTCATGTTCAGCATACCGTTTTTGTAAATTTCGACCACATTGTCCACATAAAGCTTTCAAACTCCAGATTTCTCCAACTTGTCCACCTTATCTATGGCATTGAACAGGAAATCAGATAACCTGGCATGTGGTTTGAATGCCACTTCCACATTGTTTTTTCTGAAGAAACCCGTAATTATTTCTGTTCTTTTTCCAAAATATGTTAGAGTTACTCATTTCTTGATTTCTAGCTAGGAAAATTCATATAATTACACAGATAGGTCATAATAATGGTTTTAACGCAGATACTATCCAGAAGTTGTCAGAAAACAAAGCCGTAAAAACACTTACAGATTAATATACCCTCAGGTCAAACAACCAGAAATCAAGAAAATTCATTCTATGATCTTTGCCTTTAAAAAAGTATTGTGCCTCAAAATAGTATTTTTTTTTCAAAGACTGCATTGAAAGCACAACTGTTGAAACCGGAAATGGATTGCTACAAGGGCCATTCTCAAATCCATTGTATGCAAGCAATCAGGTCTGGCACTGCTGATGTTGCGGTTTTGGATGCAAGTGATGTTTACACTGCTGGTCTTCAATATGATTTGGTGCCCTTCATCAGCGAGGTTTATAATCTGGAAGAGGCTGAATATTACGTTGTTGCCGTAGCAAAAGAATCAGATCCCAGTACAGAATTGACATATTTGAAAAGTAAGAAAAGATTGTTTTCAGTATTTTTCATGATGAATTATTGTATAAATATGTTCAATTTTGATTCGTAGATAAGAATACTTGCCATGGGGGAATCAGTACTGCTGCCGGATGGGTTTATCCGTTGGCTTTTCTTATAAGTAATGGCTGGATAAGACCTTATGGTTGTAACAGCATCAGAGCGGCTGCCGAATATTTTACCAAGAGTTGCGTTCCAGGAGCCTTGAGTACTGAATACAATACTGGGGTACCATATGATAACATGTGTGATTTATGCCACGGAACTAGCTTTAGGTGAGTTTCATGAAATTGTAAACTGCAACTTGACATGGTTATTGCTCAAATACTATATTTTTTTGGATTGAAAAAAGTAGCACTATTGAACAGTTTTTTTTTTCAAAGTAGAATGTCCATAAAAGATGTTAATGGATGGTTGGTACCTAATGAACTCACACAAGATGATGCTAAACTCGAAAAATAATTCGGCCTGGACAGAACGTATTGACCACCTAAAACTATACTCAACTGTTTTTGTTGAGGAGAGTCAGGAGATCAATTAGTCAAAATGTTCTTAATGAGGAATATTAGTAAACAATGATGTTACATATAAAGATACCATTATGTAACTTTTTATTATCAGATTTATTATTATATTTATAGATTTGATTTTGCCTACTTCCTCAAATAAATTCTTTACATTACATTCAAAGTAGGAAGGTCATTTTTCAGGTCATCATCAAGAAATTTCTAGAGTTTAAAACTCAGCGAATTGATACAGGAGACAATGGATTTTAGTGATCCATTTTTTATGTACCTTGGGATGCGCGTATATTTGAGGGTAGTTGAAGTTTTTATCTTGAGGGATTTAAATCAAATCAAAATATGCTTTATCACCCAAGATCTGAACATTTTATTGGCAAAGTCTAGTAAAGTAAAACGTGTATATGGGACAATTAACAAATATAAACTATAAAATAATGCTTAGAGACAAGAGCAGAGTACATGGACAGAACAATATTAAGCCCAGCTGAACAGATACAAATACAAGTACATGAATATTGAGTAAATGTAAATATATAATGCTACGTAATGAACATTGTTAGCCATATTTCCTGTTGATTTCAATAACTTGTTTACACAAAGCTACATGCCAATTACTCGATAGAGCCTTGGTAGAATTCGTCCACACTATAATAGGGCCTCCCAACAAGGAATTCTTTTACTTTCTTTCTGAATTTCTGTTCATTATATATTCGCCTTAAATTAATGGGAAGGTGTTTAAATAACTTTTTGCTATTGAAAATAATAGAATTTTGTGTAAGAGCTAGAGTAGGTGTTGGAAGGGAAATGAAGTAAGACTGACGTGTACTATAAGTTAAGGTGGTATTAAATTGATTTTTATATTTTTTGTGGATAAGACACACTGTTTCCAAAATAAAAAGATATACTAAGGTCAGAATTTTTTGCTTCACAAATAAGTGGCGGCATGAATATCTGTAGCTAGCCTTGCATAAATATCTGATTAATCTTTTTTATAGAGAGAATACCATATTAAAACGAAATTGTGCACAATTTCCTCAGAAACAAATTTCATAACGTAAATAGAACTCAATTTGTGCAAAATAAACTGATCTTGTGATAGTAGTGTCTTAACTCTCTTGCAACAACTTTTACTGCATGACACCCTGCTGCTAGTGTTTTACATAAGTAGTCGACATGGGAATCAAATTTTAGATTCGATAAAAGATTGGAATCACATCACTCTTTCACCCTTCTTATGTCGTCGTTTTATGTCCATATGACAACCAGCCTACAGTAAATTGATTCTTTTTTTTTTCCTTCTGATGAACATTTGTTGAGGCATTATTATTTTTTTGTAGCATTGACATCTTCAATCAATTCTTTCATTTTACTAATATATTACCTTTGTCAATGTATTGCAGTTTTCAAAAACACCTTGTATTATATTTCCTACTGTCATATTGTTCATGTTTTTTCAACATAAGAAATATTTTTTGAATTAGTCTTCGTTTTCAGGTACTGTAGACGTGACGCCTCCGAAGATTATTATGGTCACACGGGTGCGTTCAGATGCCTGGTAGAAGGAGGAGGCCATGTCGCTTTCGTCAAACATACAACAGTTACTGAAAATACTGGAGGAAAGAAAAGGGAGTGGTGGGCAAGGGACAACCTGAATGACGATTTCGAGTTACTATGTCCTGATGGTAAATAGCATTCTCATTTTTTTAAATTTTTCTTTATTCAATTTACAATTTCAGGTACTAGAGCCGAAATAAATGAATACCAGAAATGCAATCTGGGAAAAGTTAAAGCGAATGCTATTGTCACCAGAGGTGGGTATGGTTATAACGAGACCCACATCAACGCTTACATCAACTTATTCATGTATGCACAGACCTTTTATGGTAGAAAGTTCTCTGACGAATTCAGGTTGGTACTGGCAAAGTAATGATGAAAAATGAACTTTATACATTTTTTTTTTTTCATTTTTAGTTTCAGTATGTTCTCTTCAGCTCCGCCCTTCTCAGATCTGATATTTCAAGATGCCACGACGCAGTTAAGGGTTATCGAACCAAGTAGAAGAGAATATTCCAAATACTTAGGGGGAGATTTCTTGAGGGCTCGGAGGATAGTAGACTGTCACGCAGGCAGCAGTATGATAAAAGTCTCCTTTTTAGCAGTTATCATTCCAGTTTTATTACTTTTATAGTTTGTTGTGAAAGACAATTTTAAAATATCGAGTGATTGTTTTCCGTCCATTTTAAAGAAAGATTTTATGTTTTCGAGGTATCCTCGTTAAATTTGGAATATTATGTGAAACTATGATAATTCTTGATCATTCCTCCACAAAGTTTTTGTATATTTTTACACGTTTTATTTTATTTTTTTATTCATCGTACTTGATATTTAAAAATAAATTTGTATTCCAATTCGTAATATTTTTGTTGAATTGTTATATTTTGTGATCTTTTCAACCATCAACAAATATTTCTGAATATTCAAGTACGATTACATATGTACAAAGATTTTTTCAAAACAATTCTGTATAATTTTATATGTTATACATTTTACCTGTTGTTAGTTACATTTTTTTAAGTCTTACTTCTATAAACTAAAAAATACAGATCACTGGAAAGGTCCTCTGTAATGAATTAATTTTTATACTTGTGCAGACATCTCAAAGTTCAGCAAAATATATTTGATAAAATGCATGGTATACAACTTGGTTTTTATCCACTTTTCGTTGTTTTTATGGTAAACATGAACATTAAATCAAATGATAAAAGAGTTTCGATTGTTTCCTCAATACAAAATTTTGGTCAATAGTTAAGTGTGTCCCGAGCTTCCATTGGATTTGATAATTCGTATCTAATTAAAGCTAAATAAAACTCTTATTACTAAAAATGACGTTGTTAAAATCGGATAAGGGACATTTACAATTCATTAAAAAATATTTTTTTTTAGAAAAGTTCAACACCCTATATCTTGGAAATGATGCATTACTGGGCTTAGCTTACAAAACTTTTTATTTATTGAATTAGATCCTGAATAGGCTCTCACAACTAAACACCTTTCACTTGAAATGAAAAGAAACTTCATTCATGGGCTTTATTTCATTGGAATTTCTCAAATATTGAGGAACATGTATCATATAAACAAAATACTGAGTAATAGTTACTGCCGACTTACGAGATATATGGCAATGGCAAATTAAAATTCATAGAAGATCAAAATGTGTCATTTTGAAGTCCTAGTATATGACAAACATACTGGTAAAAAAGTATTTGTTTATTATTTACAATTTGTACATATATCTATTATATATTCATCTTTATTTAATGTTATTACTATATTATACATGTGGAATTAGCGTTCAGGTTTCATTTTTAAAATTCTTTCTATAAGATTGCTAAAATTACACATAATCAAGCTTCAATTTGAGAAATGTAAAATTTTCACTTACCAAAGCCATTTTTTGTTTTTGTCAGTCTTTGGACTAAACAACAAACGCCCGTCTATGTCTGGAAATTCATTAAAACCAACCTTTACAGATTTGCAAACAAAAAAAGTGAGATAGAATATTTGAAAAAAATCCGGTTTTGTGGATATCTCACAATAAAAGGTTATTAAATACATTTTTCATGAATTTTCATCAACAAATAAATGATATGAATATAAAATACAACATAAAATTAATTTTGTAGCAGAAAAGAAAAAGTAGAAGAGTACTTAAGAATAATTGCAGACTATTTTAGTATGAATGTTTTGTCAGTGTGGAAAGGAGATGGACAATTATTTCTGAACTTTATTCATTCAAGATTATATTTTCGATTAACGACAGATGAATACGCGGATTTTGTTCCTTGGAAAACGTTTAAAAGGCGGCTCCTGTAAACGAGAATAAAGCTCACCTGGCTCAAAGCTCAAAATGGAGATAAAACAAGACATATTCAATTTCTGTAAATCTGAAAAAGTTGCTCAAATGAATTCTACGATATTGAACAACTAGGCCCCCTGTTAAATTTATATTTTTATCAAAACAACATTCCAAAAGTATATCTATAATTTCGTAATTTTTATACAATGAGCTATTCAATCAATAACATTATTACACATACTGCTTACAGAAATCTTTATAAAGTTATAAATTCATCAAATTGCATTCTATGTAATTTTTTCTTAGTCAATATACATCTTTTAACTAGTTGCCTGTTCATTTATGATCCAAAACAATTTTTCAACTTTAAAACAGAATGCGAAAAAAATATTACATTTTCATATTAAGCTCGAGCAAATTAACGAAAATGAAAAAAATTTATAAGTCAGCTATCGATTCAAAAAAATATTTTTGCCTATTTTATCATAACTAAGTCGTGCTAATTCAGACAAGAAATACTTCAAGCAAGCCAAAAAACATTCCAATTGAACAAATAATTATGAAAACTTAAAATTCATCATCATCACTAAGGTATCATACAATGCCTTCAAAATTACTTTTCAATTTTGTAAAATTGCTCGAGTTTCTATTTGAACTAGATTGAAGGTGACATTTGATATGATCTTAAAAATAACTTCAAATAAATAATAGTGAAATGTATTCAATAACGCTATTAGATTTTCACAAAATAATACTATCATGTCAAAAATATAACATGCCTAAAAGTTATTGTAATGTACAACGTGTATTTCTTTTGTGCTAACTGTTTTGTGGAAATCCCTCAGTAGAGTGTTATCAAATAAGTAACGTTGGTTTTCATCTATCGGCCAATTCCATCAGATATGATATGGTGAAATATGATATTTCTAATCTGAATTAACCAATTGGAATGAAATAATAGGTAAAATTTTTGTTCAAATCAAACAACTAACTTCATTTTACAAGATTTTTATTTTAGACTTTGAAACTTCAGTAAGCAAAATTTTTGCAACTTGCATTGGCTTAGAGAATGAAAAAATTGAATAAAACCTGACCAAAAATTTGAAGAAAAACGTTTAAAAAAAACTTGACTCAAAAACTACAAAAAAATCAGATAACATACAGGGATACTCATCAATGCAAGGAATCAAGGTTTTCTTAATTGGCATTACAGATTGGGCCACCCAGTATGCATCTTTTTTAAAAGTGAAAATAATATACCATTTCACAACTGAGCTGGAAATACTATTTCAAATCAAGTTTCTGAACATTCTATTTTAGGTAGCCAGGTACACTTCAATATTAGTTTTGAAGGAACTTTCTGTAGTTTAGGTGCACACTAATCAATGTTTAATGTATTAAAGTATTGTTGATGATTCCTGACTGAACCAAGAAATGTGTCCAAAATATTCTTTATTCTATCATGGTTTTATTTTTCGTACCTGATCTATCAGATATTCTAAGTATGAATTCAAAATTTAATGATTTTTTTTGTCAAAATGTGTGGCGCTACGACTTCGTATTATATAACATACGTTGAAAATAATTATTCCACTACAAAGTTGCCTGTGCTTTACTTTAAAACAATGTGATGCCAAAGGATTTTGTTGATTTCAATATAAAAATATTTGGAAGGTTGTCTTTAACAAAAATATAAAAGCAATAAGGCGAAAATGGCTTGAAAATAGTCGTTTTTCTCACGTTATATATAAAAAATGTTTAGAATATGCAGTTTACTGGTATATACATCTCAAGCAAAAGTATTTACAAACGGTGGACTATACAAATGCCAGCCTATGACATACCAAATAGCAATATTGAGAGTTTGAATGTCCTTTCTTTCACAAACGGAGATTCCTTTTTGTTGTAGTTGTGCCCTCTGGAAAAAATATTTTAACGACAATATCAATAAAAAAATATCACATTTTCACGAAACCCTTCAGACAGGAAAGCATCAGATTTCAGAATAAGGATTTGAAACAAGTCAAACTTATAAAGTTTTCGTAGAATAAAACGAAATCAACAAATTAAATAAGAGTAGTAATAAAACATTACTTCATAATAATGGCTATGATCACAAATTGAAAAATTTTGTGATCACTGAGGAGACAGTCAAGAAATTCCTCAAATGCAGCAGAGGCCTAGGTTTCAACTCGAATAAAATTTACCCATGAGAGCCTTTCAAAAATAAAAGCTGCATCGAGGCATTTCGTAATTTATCTCACGAATTAAAAAATGATAGTCTAGTCACGTAGAACCCAGTATAATAATTATGAAAAACACGATGAAATAACAAAATTTTAAAAGATGGATATAGATAAATTAAATAAAGCCTGAATATGCGACGAATATAATTGATAACTAGTCTAGTACTTATCTTGGAACAGAAATAAGTTATTAGTTGCCGCAACAGCTATGATATTTTCCGCAGGATGCCATGCTGTGTGTAATATTTTTTTATTGAAATCTAAACAGTCTACACTAATTTCATCCTTTTTTCGCTTTCCTTGAGAGCACACTTTTCTTGGTTTCAAAACTGTTCGAGGTTTGGCAACATCCCTTGAAGCTTCCAACGTTACTTCTTTCTTCGTTGTTCTGTCAAACATTCTGAAGAAATTGTTGTAGGAACCAGTCATTATTGCAGTATCGTTACCGTTCCAGCAACACTCGAATTTATCAAAAATGCAGTCATTCTCATAAAGCGAGCACAGCTTCGCTCTCAGATATTCATGCACCTGAAATATTGAATAATTTGATTAAGCGAATTCAACCACTTCCCTACAGTATGGACAGAAAACAAGTCAAATAATCACTGAAAATATACTTGTGATGCACTGTTTGGAACCTTTGGTGTAGTAATGAACATTACTAGTTTTTCCCAACACCAAACCGTTATTTTAACACCTCGACACGTGTTTTGATAACCAAGTGATCATCTTCAAGAGGAAGATCAACCTAATCATACTTACAAAGTTATCCTTATTTATAGAGTAGAGAGTAGAATACTTTATTTGAACATTTTACATACAGTTGTACATTTATGGCAAGTCACAAATACAGAAATCCTTGATCAGATATAAAATTCATCTACTATGAAATATAAGTAAAGAATATAAGTATAAATAAAATCATAAATATAAAATCTTTGAAATATGTCGCTAAAATTAAAATGTAGGTATGTTGATTTAATGAGGCCTTTCGTTAGTTGAAGATCCCGCCATTACAATATATTCCTCTATATTATAGAAACAGTGTTGGAGGGGAAAGCTTTTGATAATAAATTTAAATTTAGTGTGGTTCAGTGACTTCACAGATGAATGAAGATGATTATAAAGATTTAAGTTCAGTGAATTTCTTTGACTTATATTCAGATTATGTCTAGGCAGGTTCAATAAACTTGTGGACCTTGTTTCATATGCATGATTTTCACCATGTCTTTCAAATTCGTCAACATTTTCATGGATCTCCAGTAACACTTTATAGACATAGTGTTGGAAGTGACATAGTGACGAGTTGAATAAAAAGATGACGACAATGATCTTTGTAACCAGTTTTTGATACCAACTCACATGAAGTTACAGAAACAAAACCTCGACAGCAAAATTTAATATTGAACACTTTATTTCATTTTTGAGGCAGGAAGATTGGAATGATATGTATATGTGTGGGGGTAATGCAAACGAAAAATTTGAGATCTTTTTTTGAACTTCTAAATATTACTTCAAGCTTTTCCTCTAAAAAAAGTAAAAGAAAAACAGGCATCATATAAAAGAAAACCATGGTTAACTAAAGGTTTACTCATTTCTGGAGAGGAATTAAAATATCTGTATAGCTAACCTTAAACGGAAATGAGGATACCAAAGAATATTATAAAAAATATAAAAAGTTATATAAACATCTATTAAATCTATCAAAAAAGCAATATAATAATGACATTATTGCAAACGCAAAAAATTAATCTAAAACAGCCTGGACTATAATAGGATCAGGCAAAAAATCAAAAAGGAGGTTGGAACCAATTCACTTAACTATTGATAACAATATTGAACAGGCACCCCAGAATGTAGCAAATCACTTTGTTGGATATTTTAATACCATACCCACACTACTGGCTAGCAATGTTAAAGAATCATCAGAAGAACCCACACTTAGATACTTCAATCCTTCTACTTTTTCATTTAAACCAACAACAGAACCAGAAATAAATGATATAATCAAAAACCTGAAAGCCTCTCAATCTACTGGTAATGATAAAATAAGTCCCAATCTTTTAAAAAAGTGTTCGTCATTTATTGCAGGCCCACTAACTTTTGCCATCAACTGCTCGTTGGAAGAAGGTATTTACCCAGATAGCTTAAAAATTGGAAAAATAAAACCTATACATAAAAATGGAAATAAAACCCAAGTTGAAAATTACAGGCCCATCACTGTCCCCAGTGCTTTTGCAAAGGTTTATGAAAAATGGGTGTCAAATTCAGTCGTTTCATTCTTTGATCTTCATAAGCTATTCAATGAAAATCAATTTGGTTTTAGAAAGGGACGTTCAACAACACAAGCTATAATAAAACCACTAAAAGAGCTATATAATAGTCTAGATATGGGTAATTGAACTCTGGGTATTTTCTTAGATCTAAGTAAGGCATTTGATCTTGTAGACCACAGAATTCTACTAGACAAATTGGAAAAATATGGTTTTAGGGGAAACTCTCCAAAATCGAACACAATACGTTGATATAGATCAGTATCAATCTGAACGTTTAAAGTATACTATTGGAGTACCACAAGGCTCTATTTTGGGACCTCTACTTTATATAATTTATGCCAATGACTTTGAAGGCAATTTTGTAATATATGCGGATAACACTACACTACTGGTTAGTGGAAAGAATGTTACATCCACAGTTGACCTGGCTCACAGGGAAATTTTAAAAGCCCAGGATTGGTTTTCTAGCAATAAATTAATCTGCAATGATAAAAAATCATCCTTCCTAAGATTTAGTTATGCCCCAAATGGTCATGATCACAGTTTACTGTTAAAATCACAGAACGGTTTAATGAAACAGGTGAATTCAATAAAATTTCTAGGACTTATTCTCACTGAAGATTGTAAATGGAATCAACATATTAATGAAATATGTAAAAAAATAACGCCTATGTGTTACTGTATCTATCAACTCAGTAAAATTATAGATAAGTCGGTGGTACTCATGTACTATCATGCCCAATTACACTCAACAATCTCATATAGTATAGTAGCTTGGGGCCTATCACGTGAGGCACAAAGGGTATTTATTTTACAGAAGAGAGTTGTCAGAAACATTCAGAGTGTAAATAGACGTACTAGCTGCAGAGATCTATTCAATGTTTTAAGAATATTAACTCTCCCATGCATTTATATGTACCAGCTGTTGATTTTTGTAAAATCGGATCAATGACGTTTTACCTCCTTAAACAAAAATAATTACGGCACAAGAAATTCAACATTGCTAGAAATACCAAATCATAGACTGGCTAGATCAGAATCAAGTCCAATTTTCATGGGTATCAGGCTATTTAACAAATTGCCGAATCATGTTAGAAAAATGTCACTAAGAAAATTTAAACCGTTCCTAAAAAACTTTCTGATTGATAAAGCCTACTACTCCATTGAAGAGTTTATAAATGACTTATCAATATAACTGAAGAATTGAGATTGTCATCTAGGGTTGTTAATATATTATAATTTTACCTAGTTATAAGTTTTAATATATAATTTTACATAACTGTTCATATCCTATATATACATATTTTTATTTTATTTTATAAGTTCATTTATATCATATTCCACTGACTTGTTCTATATCACTGAGTTATGATCCAGAAGAACCAATAAAATATTATTATTATTTAGCTAGAATTCTTATGGCCTTTTTTTGGCACCTAAACACACTAATCGAGTTACTTGAATGACTCCAAATGGGAATAACATAAGAAATAACTGAGTGAAATAATCTGTAGTAGGCTCTTTTCAGCGTCATCAAGGTGACCACTTCGTTCAGTCGCCTCAAAACAAACAAAACAGTAGAAAGTTCGCTGAACATAGCTTTGTGATCAGACCAGCTCAATCTATGATCAATGGTGAATCCTAAAAACTTAACACTTTTTGATTGGGGAATATTGCGATTGGAAGATACGATTATATTTTGAGTTTTATCTTTATTCAAGATAAGTTTGTTAGCAGCAAACCAATTGTAAGCTAATGTTTTGCTATCTTCCATCATTAGTTGTAAGCCATAGATACCTACGTCTTAAGCGCCTTAAATTAATTTCACATTATTACCTTACCTACTATACTAATAATGTGAAATTAATTGTCTAGTAGATAAATTAATTTAAGACACTTAAGACGCATGACAGGTATCTATGGTATAAATAAGGATAACTATGTAAGTATGATTAGTTTGATCTTCCTCTTGAAGATGATCATTTGGTGATCGAAACAAGTATCAAGGTGTTAAAATAACGGTTTGGTGTTGGGAAGAAACTCTAGTAATATTCACTGTCAATATAATTCAGGTAATGAAAATGTAAATATCACAGAGGAATTGCTGTTACAGCTAAACATAATTGAAAAAAATTGAAGAACCTGTTCAGAAAAAAGTATTTTCACAAAAAATACATAAAATCTTACTTTTTGTAAATATGGATCATCAATAAGCTGAGGAAATTGAAATGAATAACAGTAAAAAATTATGTATACTACCATACAATGACATTGATATATTAAATGCATTATCACTTATTCCTATCTACTTGAGCAGAAAAAATGAATCATCACGAAAGTTATCAGACTACAATTTACGAACCGATCATAACATACTGGAGTTGAATTTAAGAAATGACAAAATCTGAAAACGCTTCATACTCCATGTGGAAACGCTTGAGAAAGCTATTGTATAGCAGCATGTTGCACTCGGTTGCAGTTTTGTCAACTGTCCAGTGAAAATCTCACAATAAAGTGTTACTTAATACGTTCTCGATTTTCATCAAGTATCAGCCAATTTCATCATATATAGATTCAATTTTTTTTTATTTTGGTTCTTAACAAAGCTACAGCTTTAGAACATGTCACAAAATACGATAAAATTAACATATGCTCAAAAAGTAAAATATAAAATCTTCAGAAGATACTTAACTGTGCAATAAAAATAATAATACAGTCCATTCATACAATCGTGCAAGGGATCTTTGCACTATGGTCCAGGGAATGAATGGAAAAAGTCAATTATACCATATAGGGGATTTTCCATAAGTAATGTCTTTAAATCTTTTTTGAATTTAGTAAAGTGCAGAGAACGTACTGTGAGAGGTAGGGCATTGTACATTTTAATATCAATAGTATCGTCCATTCTTTGTAACCGGGTTTGAGGTATAATCAAATTATCTTTATTTCTAGTATTGTGACCGTGTATATCAGACATAACAGAGTAACTATTAATGTTTTGTTTGACATATAGTAACTTTACAGAAATTATCAGAGAGTAAAGTGTCATTATTCTCAATGTTTTAAAGATTGGTTTGCAGGAGTCTTCAAAAATAGCTCCTGTAATAAATCTTACAGCCCTCTTCTGAATGACGAATATAACATTCAAATGAAACTGAGCTGCCGAGCTCCAAACAGACAAGCCATATCTAATAATGGATTCGAACAGTGCATAATAAGTAGTTATTGCAGCAGATTGGTTAATACATTGTTTAACTTTTCTTATTGCAAATACTGCACTATTTAGTCTATTGCAAATTGTTTATACATGTATGTTCCATAGTAGCCTGACATCTACATCTACACATCAGCATACATAATTGTCTCGATATTTGAGGTGAACATATTTGGCAAATCGTTATTATAAATAATAAAGACAAGGGGGCCCAATACTATAACTTATGAACCATAAAAAAATATTATTATTTTTTGGTCTTGGGTATTTCAATATAATGTTAACAATGCTATTAAAAATTATCCTATCAATGAAATGGAGGTTACTTTCAATTATGGAACCTTATAGGTTGGGACTTCCATTGTCTACAAATATTAAATCTGTTTTTCCGATAACCAACTGTCGCCCCCCTACGAAAGAAAATTCTCAAAAGTCAAAAATTGTGCGAGCTAAGGACTAACGAGGTCTTGACTTTTAACGTGTAATTCCTAACATATGATTGATAACTTGAGAGAAGAGAAGAAACAGAAAATTTTTAAGACTGAAGAATTCAGTTGCCCACCATTTTTCAAGATTAAGATGTTGAGCTATCAAACATGAAAAACTACTTGAACAATGAAAAAACATCAAAACGCTTTCTGATTGCTTGTCTCAAGTCTGCCCGGACGCACTTTCAAAACATCTCATTTAAGTAGACCTAGTGGTACTTTTGGAATCCACAGCTTCATGGGCTCATTTCATTCTACCTTTAAAAGACACTATTTCCAATAATCATGTTCTTTGTACTAGTTTGAACATGTCTTTCTTTGTTGGTCAACCACTAGTCTCAATGTTACTGTTATGTTCATTAATATCCCAAGTGTGGCCTAGCTAGCTAATGGAAAAACAACTCAAAAGGTAGTGCAGGAAGTTTTCAAATAAACTGATAGTTTATCATCTGTTGTATTTTGCAGGCCCGGCTGTTTTCTCATTATCAAGCTTTTTTTAAAATTTTGGTAAACGAATAAAGAATATATAAAAACTGAACTTACAGGATACGTCTCGATGGGTTTAGTCTCCATGTGCAAATCCCAAACTTTAACTGATAAATAGTCTCTTGAAATCATATATCTACCACTATTTGATAATTTAACGTCAGAAATACTGGAAATTATTTCGGAGAAGAAGCTCCTGTTAGTAGGATCTTCAGGCTCCTCGAACAACTTTGAATGCCTGTCGCAAAGAGCTGCTGCTCTCATATCACACAGTCGAATTGTTCCCTTGCTACTACTATAAACAAATAAGTTGCACTCTACAGGATGAAACTCGGCTGCTGTTATAACTTCAGTAAGTTCCTCCATATTTGTAGGTTTGATGTCAACAATATTGAAGCTTTGATCTGTGATTTCCAAATGCCATAAGTTGATTCTCAAGTCGTCTGCAGAAAGGTAAGTTTCTTGGTCAGAATTAACCGATATAGAATTGATGTGGTAGGTGTGAGCATTTGCAAATATTCTCCTCGGAGAAGCTTCCACCATCAATTCCATTGGTTTGATTATTGGCACTCTAAGAGCACTTACATTGGCTGGATCTATCAGAGAGCCATTTTCAGCTTTTGTATTATATCCTTCGACTCTCTTGTCTCTCTCAGAAACTTTCCACAATTTTATTGTTTTATCATTTGTGGAGAGGAGAAAATGCGCGGGATTCTTCCTTTTGAGCCATCGTATTTTATTTATTTTCTCTTCAATCTCTAAACTCTTGAGGTAGTCAAATTCTGGCTCATGAGATTGAAATGTCGAATACACGTTATATTCTCCACGTTTGGGAAGTACAGTTTTAGAGATGGGGTCACGTTGGAAAATAACTACTCTGCCACCCTTGTCGCCTGTGGCTAATAGCTCGCCATCGTGGTTGAATTCTACACATGATATTATATCTGCTTCAGTTACATCATCATCCAAGGTTCCCTTTACCTGCGAGAAGCTCCACTGAACATCACCATTACCTGCAAAACAAACAATTTACTCAACTTTACTCAATTGTCGAATATTTGCAGTAGACATTTTGATGATGCTGAACGACAATAAATCTGTCCCAACTAGTTACAGATTTTCAACATCGAATTGAAATCCATCCAACCTGATTATTGCCAAAATAATTTTACTCATAAACTCTCAACAAGTGTAAAAATTTGGTAGATCGATGTTACGGCTTCGGTTAATATTCGAGAAAAAAATAATAATCTATCAAGTCATCAAAATAGTACTACTGTATGTTATGATATTTCACACGATTTTGACACAGTACTGGACTGAAAAGTTCGAAGGTTAACACACAGATGACGCTACTAGTATTAAATCAATATGATTTCTAGTTAACTCTAACCTTCAAAACACATACAAATTTCACAGCTGTCGGACTATTACTTTGTGGGACATTACATTTTTAGTATAGCGACTTCAGTTAGTTTGAAGAAAATGGATAAAAACGAATTCCGTGTGTTGATAAGGCATTGCAGTGGACGTCCCAAAGAGGCTGTTACCAACGAAGTCCATAAAATAATTTTGGATGACAGCAAAGTGAAGTTGATCGAGATAATAATAATAAAATAAAAATAAGTAGGTGCTGTGAGAGCTCACAATCGACCAAAAACAACAACGAATTGATAATACTGAGAAGTGTTTGAAACTGTTCCACCATAAGAAACCCGAATGTATGCGTGTTGCATGCAAAGAAGCAACAGTCGGCTGGCATTCATTGTTTTAATTATTTCAAAGGTAAGATATTGCATGAATATGTAGTTCTGCTACAGTTTACATACATTATAATAGACAAGGCTTTGATAAAAGTTGAATTTATAAAAAGAAAACCCTGGAGATATATAGAACTAATGGAGTACTAAGGTGTGATAACACTAGATATATTAGCAGATACTTTTATAATTACCCAAAAGAAATAGCAATTTCCCAACACTGAAAATTCAGATACTTCTCAATTTGAAAAAGGGCAGTAAATAGAAGACTGTGGAAACCAGTGAGGAATTGTGGGTGAGTCATTAAGGATTAGTAAGATTCAGAAAGATAAACAGGTTTCAATCTGATCAGATTTTGTTCCAAAAACACATTCTGCCTTAAACGATTCCCGATGACAATACAAATCTGGTTTCTCTTAGTCCCTCTTGAGACTTAGGAGGGTTTCTCGTAGAAAAGCAGGTGGTTGGAGATGTTAAAAACAAATATTGATTAAAAATGAAACTATTAGAAATAATTTTCATTCCTTAAGTAATACCCATTGATCCGAGTATTTATGACACAGAATAGTTAATAGTATGAATGTGTGAAAAAACCATGTGAAATAATTTTGTATATATTGAAATAATGTCCCATTTCAAACTGGTGTTTTTTTATCTTACTTGGTTGTACAGTATTGTTCATTATTGTATCTTGATATTAACCTAAAGTACTGAAATACATTGCTGCGAATGTTACATTTATACAATTTTACAAATTCATTCTAATAAATGTTTAAAAATGTTTACTATTCACTTCATGGCAATAATGGAGTCTGTATACAAATTTATCTCTTCACATATAGTCAGTGGGTATACTTGAGGACTGGCTATAAATCAAATCATCTAAAGGAACAATTTGTTCAGTTGTTTTCTGATAGTGTCAGTCCATTATCCTGTAGCGTAGGGAGTTGAGACTGACCTGAACGAATTGTTCCTCTTTAGATGATTTAAATTTTTCTCTTGCATTATGAAATGTTCCTTTTTAAGGAACCACCTTTGCATATTGACCGGTTTGGATAATTGTCATTTAAGACACTTTCAAATCACCTTTTGTAATGATAAGGTAGCTCACCTTGCTGAAATTCAACCTTTTGGATTTGTCAATTATTGAAATTAATACATAAGCACTAGAATGGCCTACTAGATCACCTGATATGACGCTACTAGATGTTTTTGAGGGGATAGATGACATCTGTATTGTACGATAATCAACCTCAGTAAAAAGTTTCTTGCAACGAAATGATTCTTTAGAGTCATTCTTTAGAGTCGTAGGGGGCTGTGTGGCATGGTTAAGTTGTTAGAAACGCAGGTTTCTGAATGCACAAAATGGAAACGAAATTCATGTTTCATAAAGTAAGAAATAAGTTTGTGAACAGACTTCTTCATTATTGAGAGGACAGTTATGAAAAATTTTTTCTTAAAATTATGATATCGATTGTAGATTTATAAAATGAAAATAAATTTGCTAATTACTCAGGAATGGGAGAATGATCTTAGGAGATTAGCAGATTAACTAAACCACAAAAAATTACTATTGTGTAATAGAATGAATAATGAATATTGCAAGTTATATATACTTGAAAACTATATTTGTTTCTAATGAAGTATATATCTAAAACTTCAAATTTTAAATGATCCTATCCATAGGATTAAAAGTGCTGCTGCAACTTGAATGAATCACAAATTATTTTCGTAAAGTTCCCTTATTATTATGCGAGAAATTTTTCCTAACTGTAGAAGCCAGTTTTTGAATGAAGCACAAATGAGTTTCGTAAATTTCCCTAATTATTATGCCAAAAATGTTTACCTAACTGTAAAAGCCAATTTAATTATCCTTATCAAGAAATAATTCCTTCATTTTAATGAAACCTATATAAAAAATGTATTCAATGAAGAGATAAGACTATCATAAATTATTTTTAAAGTGTAAACCTATCATAAAAATTAAAATACGTTGGAAGAGATGAATATTTTGAGATTCCATTATGAAATATTTATTTTCTTATACGTATGTATCTCTCCTCGATACAGTCTTCAGACTTTTTGACTTTTAATTTTATCACAATAGCTACACTTTTTGCTGTAGGATAATAACCCCGTGGATAATTACTGAGAAATCATCAAGTCATACTTATAATTCATAGAAAAATATTACCACTATATGTTTTGTCAAAGTTTTTATGTACCTATAAATTAATATTTCTTCTCAATTGGACGTAGTAAATTCATTATCCCTTGATTCAGATATTTGTCGAATAGTGGCGAGAAGAGGAAGTTCTAAAATATTATACTCAGGAAATGAAATGCATTTTTTTGATTATTTATCAGAAGGAAGAAAATAAATTGTTGAGCATATTATATCTTACAAGGAACTGTTATCAAAGATAAAGAAAATATAAACTGTTTCATGAAAAAATTTGCAGCTCTAGAACCAGAACTTTCGAAGTGCCATGGAAATACAAAAAAAACTAAAGCAATTTGTAATCAAAAAAATCGATGAGACAAATAGAGCAAACCATGAAGCAACAAAAAGACTTCAGTAAAAAAATAATAAAAAGGTTACTAGCCAACTACAACATACTGCCAATACAGGATGAAACAAGTATCAAACTGAATCATTTTTCATCTGTACACGGTCGCAAGAAAAATGTGATGAAACAATAGTTTTGGAAAGAAGCTCGTAACAAAAGAAAGTCTTTCATTCCTTTAGTATAAATGCATACTTGAAGACTGGCTTTCAATCAAATTATCTAAAGGAACAATTCTTTCAGGCCAATCTTCCCTTACCTACACAGTAGGTTTATGGATTGACACCTATCAGAAAACAACTAGTCTCCTGGTTAAACCACGAAGGGTGTTGGATTAGATATCGGACAGATGTCAGTGCAGGATTCTTCACAGAAGTAATTCCTGCATATGTTGTTGGCGATACAACTGCCAGAATTGATTTTTAATTATTGGAGCACACTTGCAGACTGGTTTCGGCCTATTTGGCCACTCGTCAGTGCACAATAGTGTCCATTATCAACATGAAGTCGATGATTTCCGATAATTAAAAATCTAATTCCTTTCCTGAAGCAAACGACAAACAACATATTTGTCATCATTGAGGTACTAACCAACTGCATATCCACAGGGCCCAAATCCTCGTATAAGGACAATAAACTTTCATTCATTCCTATTGTACGTGGGCATATTTAAAGACTGGCTTTAAATCGAATTATCTGAAGGAACAATTCGTTCAGGCCAGTCTTCCCTTACCTACACAGCAGGTTCTTGGACTGACACCTATCAGAAAACAACTACTCCCCTGGCTGATAGCACGAAGATGTCAGTCCATAAATCTACTGAGTAGGTAAGGTAAGACTGGCCTGAACGAATTGTTCCTTTGGATAATTTGAAAAGAAAGTCTGGTAACTTCATAAGTAGTATGAACAACAAAAAGGTATTCAGAAGATGGTAAATCTTCACATATATGGAACTGAAACAAATGTATCTTCAGAAAAGCTAGGCCTATTTCTTGCAAGGAAATTTCCATTAGTCTCCTGTGTTTTTTTTTAATATATTCACCACAGCACCCCAATGTAAATCATCATTAGATATTCAGGACTTGTATCCAATCTTTGCTTTTAAAAAATAAGAAAAGTGGTACTTTTCTGGAAAAAAGTAGGACACAATTTGTAAAAAAAAATTAATATAGGTATTCATAGTAAAAAAATAAAAAGCGACTGAATCCAATGACCACTCTAAGCTGATAGGTATAATTGAAACATAGAAAGTTTTATTTCTCATTCAGGTTTGAAGACCGACGTAGTTTTGAACAGCATCCTAACGTTTCGCCAGCACGAGTGGCTAACTTCCTCAGAGGTTTATTCATCTTGATGATTCACCGGTAACTGGTGATTTCTATCTAGTCCGTATGTTGTATTTATGTTGACTCAGGCAGTCTACCTCTCTTGTTGATGTGTTGCTACTACCTTTTAATGATATATTGTCTCTAAGAGCCATAACAATGCATTGCTCTGTTGCCATCTTTGAGTATGGGATTCCAAATCCGGTTAAGCCTTACCGCCTCCACTTTTCTGTTGTTGTTCTCCGTATGTTTATGGATTTCTATGGCTTCCAGTACAAGCCGACTGTTGTATTCATGATCGGGGGTAAGAAGTTTCACATCTTCAAACAGTATCGTGTGATCTCCTTCACTAAGCATGTGTTCCTCTACTGCTGATTTGTCTATTTGAGCTAATCTACAGTTTCTCCAATGTTCATTCAGCCTTGTACCCACAGATCTTTTGATGGTACCAATATAAACTTTTCCGCAGGTGCATGGTATACGATATACCCCCGCAGCTGATAGTGGATCTCTTTTGTCTTTTTATTTTATGCTTCCCTAAGATTTTTCCGATTCTGGCTGTAACCCTAGGGATGTGTACGGTAGAAATGCATGAGCAACCGTATGAGTTTCTTCCCTATTTTGACTTGTGTAAGTCTTCAGTTTTATGGCCTTGTTGGTCTCTGTTACACTGTATCCATTTGATCTCAAACCACTATCCAAGTCAAAAGCGAGGAATTATCAAAACCCTGACGGAACGTGCCTGTAGAATATGTGAACCGGAAAACCTACAAGAAGAATTGGAGCATCTTCAAGTGGCTTTAAGATCGAATGGATACAGTGTAAAGACTTCCGCAAGTCTTCAGTTTTCAATAAAAATGAAATTTGATACTGCTGTTCATTTCTGGAAAAGAAATTGCACTGAAAAAGTGACACACAATATAAAAAAATCAAAATTGGCGTGTGTGACCGTATCAAGCGAGTATTCTTGCAAATGATGAAATTATGCTGACTGTGAGCGACAACTAAACAAAAGTGAAAGATGAAAGGGTTTACACCTCCTTTTGAGGTTGTATTTTATTTGTATCACTCATATTATGCCAAACATCTACTAAGATGGTTGACTAAGTGCAGGACTAACCTCTGTGAGGTATTTTGGATAGATGTATGTCGGATGTAATTCAATGTCCAGCGTGGTATTAGCCGGGGAAGTAGTTGTTTTTTTGAAAGGCATTTACCAAAGCCTACTGTATAGGTACGTTGGAAGAGATGAATATTTTGAGATTCCATTATGAAATATTTATTTTCTTATACGTATGTATCTCTCCTCGATACAGTCTTCAGACTTTTTGATTTTTAATTTTATCACAATAGCTACACTTTTTGCTGTAGGATAATAACCCCCTGTTAACCCTGAGAACAGTAGTACACTGAGAATTATTCACTCACTTTTTTTGTAATTATTTATCAAAAATATAAAATAACTGACATTCCTGTGTTAAAACCAAAATATTTCAAGATGTACTCCCCCACCCGCCAGAAGCTACCCAATGGCGTGTCTAGGCCAGGTGTCATCCCCAAATGGGTGCTCTAACGGCAAAAAATATTCATGAAACATTGATATATACTGATATGTATACACTGGTACTTAAGAGTACTCATTTTATTTTAATAACAAGAAACTTGTATTTGTAACTCTTTTTATGTAGTGACATTCTTTAAATCAATAAACTTTATCTTTTAATCACAGATAACGAAAGAAAATACTGACAATTGTACCTAAAAATTTAAAATGAACTACATCAAAAATTGTAACTGTGACTACTGATCCTTCCTATAAAATATTTAAAGGGATTGATTCACACCTTATTAAACCATGAAATTATACCTTCAGAAATATTCTAGTCTTTAAATCTCATCAATAAACTTCATCTTTTAATCACAGATAAAGAACGAAGATATTGACAACCGTACCTAAAATTCGAAATGAACTACATCAAAAATAGTTGTAATTGTACCAAGAATGTAATGAAATGAATTCAGGGCATTTCACACGTAGGAATACTAGAGGATGGCGACAAACTTACAGTTATAGATTTCACTGGTGATATTGCATTAGCAGACATTTGACTGAAGCACACTTACAAGAAGCTCGTGAAAAAGTTGTAGTGGAAATCATATGTATTCCAGCAGAACTTTAACCAAGAAATCAATTTCCAGCTTCTAAAACAATGGAATCGCAAGCGTGTATAAANTCTATTTATTAGTTTATTTTATCCAATTCATGTTGAAACTCTGTAGGTACCTGTGTTTGAGAGCGAATCATTAACGTAAGAAAATAAAGTGTACACATTCATTTGAATAAACATATACCTACCTAATGAATGAAATTACCTGAGCTCATGTATAACTTAATTACCGATCTCCACATTTGAAAAAATATTCAGTAATAGGGAGTTATTCAATTCTATTTGGTTATTAAGTAAATGATCCGAATTCTTGAATCTATTTAATTCTAAACATTCTGAAAGATTGAGTTTGAAACTTTTCTCTTCCATACACTTTTCTACACCATAGTCGTGATTGAACTCATGTCCTTCTGCTGAAAGATGGTGGTTTGCAAATGCAAGAAGCTACGTCTATTCTCTTTAATTCTTTGGGAAAAAATTCTCCCCGTTTGGCCAAAAAGAAATTTGGTGCAAGAGCCACAAGTCAACTCATATACTCCTGATCTATCCGACACTGAAGTTTTGTCTCGATATTTTTCAATAAATTTGCTTAAATTATTATTTGTTCTGTAAGTCACGTCCAAGCCACGATATTATCGGTGTATTCACCAAGACATGACAATGTCTTGTAACGGACACTTTCTTTTTTTGAAGTTGGGTAGACCTGGTTCATGACTTGTTTTCGTAGTTTTTTGGAAAGAATGGAGTCGATAATATTTATCTTGTTACCATTGTTGACAACGATTTGTTTGATGAAACTCAGTTTTCTCTGGAGGTACTACAATTGAAATTTTCAAATGGCACTTATTGAAATCCTAAATCCTTTTATGAAACATTTACATGGAATTCCTTCACTGATTCGTACCAGCACAAAGTAGCTGTATTTAATAGTGTGCTTAACAGACTATTGAATATTCCACTGTCGGAAAGCAATTTCCAGGGAGAGCTGAGTTTCATCAATCAAATCGCTGTCAACAACGGTTACAAAGAAGATATTATCAACTCCAATCTTTCCAAAAAAATACGAAAAGAAACCATGGACCAGAAATGATAGTGTCCATTATAGGACATTGTCATATCTTCGTGGACCCACCAATAATATCGATCGTTAAAAAAACAGAACGAATATTAGATTGAGTACATTTATTGAAAACAATGAAGACAAAAGTTCAATGTGGGACAGATCAGAAGTATATAAGTTGATTTGTGTCTCTTATCCAAAACTGTATATTGGCCAAATCCACATTTGCAAACCATCATCGTGTTTTTCTCGATGTTCATATGACCACCACGAGTAACGCTGGCATTTGAGGTAAGTTATTCAAATTCAAGGACGAATCGAGTTTGAATATCAAACGAATTTCGGAGAAAATTTTTAAGGAAAAAGCGAATAATGAAATATTTTTCACCGTTAAGCTTTTTGACGTCCGTATCATTGAATTAAAGGAATGAAATAAATAGGTATATGCGTGTTCTCTATTGCTGAATACAAAATATGAATAATATTCATATTGATCCACCTTCTAATCAAGTATCTCTGGAGAATACGCCTAAAGAAGCTATTGTATACATGAACACATGTTGCAGTTTCGTAAACTATTAGGTGAGAATGTAACATTGAAGTGTTACTTGAATACGTTATGAATTTTCATCAAGTGTCAGATAATTTCATCACATACTATATCAGTCGTTCTATATATGTATTCAACTAGTTTCTAAACGAATAATTGATATTCTTATCATAGTATTTTTAACAATTTACCTTGGGTACTATTTTTGCACACTGTAATTGTCTATAAAAAAGAAACGAAAAAACTCAAGATTGTATTAGACAGATATTTTTATTAAGATAATACTTAACAGTAATTTTCACATATTGTTCGGACATACTCTAATCAGTGTACAGTTATTCTCAAATTCACATCCGGCCCTTCTTTGAGTAGAGCACATATGGATGCTCTGCTTATAATTAAACAGTTGAGGTTTTCGGCTATATGGCTGAATTTAAATTTTTGTGATGTGTTGATACCACAAAAAGTTGAAAATGATATTGAATCATACTTTGATGAAAGTTCAATAGTACTTTGATAACGATCATCTGAAGTACTGAATAACCAATATAGAGCACAAGATAAATTTGGCTTTTTTTCTATGGACCCAGTTACCATTAACCAAAATGAACTGATAGGAACCTGTTGACTAAATCTACCACAAGTTTTTATGACACTTTGAGAACTTTTAGACTTCCTAACATCTATTTTGTTTATTTCATAAACGGTGATCATTGCTAAACAAAAATGTGCATTATGTTCAACCATAAACATATTACACGGTATACACAACTCCTTTCCCCTTTCAACATAATACTTTATTATATCTGGATGCTCGTATTTGAAATGAGTAACGAACGCTGAGGTGGCCACCATTTTCTTGCATGGTTTATGTGGACATTTGATTGGTATTCTTGACTGAGATGAAACAGTTTGGGTGTAACTATTATGTATTTGTCTCGAATTCTTGTCGAACTGAGTTGACTCCTTAGTTACCATCGAGTAAGAAAAATCACTTCTATCGCCTAATATTTTTCGCAACTCTTCGGAAGGGAGTTGAAACAAACCCTCTACGGTTATATTCACTCCATTTGTTTGACATATTCCATTTTTCTGCTGGGTTCTCGAATAAATATAAGAATTATTCAAAATGGGCGTTGCATTATATCGGCACGGTCTCCCAATTCCTGGTTTTGCTTTGATTTTGTTCAGGAAATCTGTGTTGATTTTGCTTTGAGTGAATACACCAGATATTTTACAAATTACACACGTAGAACCACCTTTAATGTACCCTGTAATAGAGAAGGTATTATGTTTTTCTATTAAACAAATTAATGAATAAGACACATAATATGTATCTTCTTCAGCTGTTGATAGATATTTCCGATGCAAGTATTTCTACGAAGAACTAGAACTGCCAAGAAAAAAATTTGATATTATGAAAATGAAAACACTGATTTGTTTCGAGAACAAAAAGGCTTAAAATCAACTCAAAAAATTGACACTGAATACAAGCTTTCGAGTAACTATTCAAAATGTTATTTTTCATGAATAATAAGGATTCACAAAATATTTATAGAAACTTACCTCTATATATTTTTTTCAAATCATTGATGCAGGTGAAACAATATTGATGTTGTAATGGACATTGATATAATGGTGCACTTTCTGGTATCTCTCCACATAGACTGCATTTTACCATGGTGGCCCAATGATTCAGTTCTTCCATCGTGAGTTATTATGATGAGTGAATTGACGATTTGATTTTCTTATAATACATTTTAACTCAACGTACTATACGAAAATTTTGAGGATTTTTTAATGAAAACTTTGACAGATGTATGAAAAAGTGGGTACAACAGTCAAAATCACTAGTTTTTTTGAAAAGAATAGGTGTGTGGGAAAACAAGGGAATATATAAATAGGAAATAAAAACCAATATTCCAGAAATATTTCTATTCACTTTCATCATTAGTAAAATCAATTGATTACATATTATCAGTAATTTTAAATTGTTAGTAGTATACTAATTTTTTTTTGGGCAATTCATGTCAGCATCTGTCATCAATTCGAGCGGATGGAACCTTTTGAAGTGGATGTAGTCATTGTCATATTGTTTTAACGTTATACAAAATCAATTGAAAATTTTTACAGTTATATTGTGCCATGTACTCGATTGTCAATTTCCATAGATGGGTTTCAAGTTTTTTTTTTTGAAATTCTACTCTTATGCATTCGCAGAACGGAAACCAGTTGGTTCTGTGTATGTATTTCAGGGTATGTGTATTCAACTTATGAACGGGCAACATCGCTTCTCATTTTGTAGCGGTCAACGTTATCAAATATTTGGATGATGCTGATTTTTCTAATACTTCACTAAATCGCAGAGAGGTAATAGGTAGTCTTACGTCAACGAAGGTGCTCTTAATATGGAAATTGAGATTAATTATGTAGAGGAAACCTAGATTTGTTTTCGTGTCAATTCACGTTGAGATAATAGAGCGAATGCACTACCAAAAATTTAATCCCAGAAAAAAAGTTATTACAATCAAGATTTTTCTGTTTTCTTCAAATTGATTCGATTGGGTAGGAAGTAATGAAGTGATAGAATAGGAAACATGCATGTATTTTTTTATCTATCAAATAATTGATGTGATGCTTAGATACCTCAAACAGTGAGAAAAATATCTCTAAACTCTTTTATTTCTTGAATATTCAAATTTATGAATAATCTATGATTTGAATTCGATTTGATCATGAATTTAAATAATTTTCTTCAGAAAAACCCGATTACAACCATGAATAATTATCATTAATAACACAATCGACTCCAGTAATGAAGAGTTATTGATGATAATTGGAAAATTACTTCATAGTTCTACAAAAATAATAAAAAACTCTTATAAAGCATCGGATACTTAAAAATTTTGATTTGTCGAAATCAGTTGAGGTGAGTTCTTAAATTCACTGATGACCTCATCAGAAAACGAATATGTTTTGGCGGGAAGGACTCAATCTGAAATGAGATTATCGATAACAAAACGCACCTTTAGTTGTCTCTTATCAATGGAGATATTCGACACAGAATATCTAAATGCCTTTTTTGAAATCGGTGAACTTTCAAATCGAGAGAAAAATCGGATGTCTCTCTGTTTTGTGAGCAAAATAGGGAGAAAAATCTGATTTTCCTTTTGATAGTTCCTAGTGAATGTGAACATTGCACAATAGAGATATTTGGGTTAACAACTTGGCGAGATGAACTCTCGAACGACAACTCTCAAGAGTCAAACAAGGACTAACAAGATCTTGCCTTTTAACTTGTGATTCCTAGCACTTTTGAACTACATTTGAATTATATATTCTAGAGTTCAAAATAATTTGAATTTACCGTCAAAAATGATATAAAAGCTGGAAGTCTGCCATTAATGACTTTATAGCATTTCCTTCGAAACTGTAGCACTTGTTATGTGTCGGAAAATTTTCTTCGTGCACACATGGTTTCTCCGGTTCTTCAGTTAGGCATTTTCATAGCGGGTAACGACGGCAGGACATAATATAGTATACACAGTTTTTGACTGTGTAAGTCATAACTTTACAAATAAGGAGAACAAAATACCTCAGTTTGAAACTGCCATATTTGACACTTTTGAGATTTTTTAAAGCAATTCCATGTCTGTATCCTCGATAATGGCAAAGGTGGTAGTTTTCAACGGGGAGGACGCAATTTTTTCGTGAAGTTATGGGAAATAGAAAAGATTCTTTCAACGACTAGATGAGCTTGATGAATCCGAAGAGCCAGAAGAAGCAGTACAATATTTTTATAAGCAAAACACGGGAAAACATTTCAATTGTACTCAGTATGTTTCCCGCTTTCAAAAATACGGTTACGTTTTTTTGGACATAAGCAGTAAAATTACACCAAGATGTTTTTGTTTGAAACGTGATTGATTCTAATGAAAATGACATCTGTCTTTTATATTCACAGATCATATCTCAATTACATCAATTTAGGTTGATGGAAATAAAAAAATTACCCGTTATTCTTCTTATATTTTTTAGCGTCGTTTTCCACGAAAATTGTTTTGTGGGTTGTGTTTCTGTGTCCATGTCCATATTGCACCGAGTCTATATGGTCTATGTCAGTTCTCAAAAATTTTAATTTTTTTTTTGAAAAAATTGGAAGTAAGAAGATTATCTTGAATTTCAGTTCACGAAAGAACATTTTTATTAGAAATAAGAAACGGAAACATATTTCAAATATGAACACAATCTTAGGAAATGAAGCGAAAGGGTTCAAAATTTTACCATCTCCTACAAAAAGTGTCAGTGACAAAAAAGATTACACGTAAGGTTAATAAAGCATGTATCTTTTCAAGCTCTAGTTTTTCAACTACTTTCAGAGTTATAAAATTGGAAAATGGTTTGACAGCATGTCTTATATCTGACAAGGCTCCAGTATCCCTTGCTGATGAATCCTGTGAAGAACTTGATAACGAATCTGAGACTGATGATTCCAATTATTCAGGAAGTTCCGATTCTGAAGTTGAGTCGGACTCTAGTGGAAGTATTCAGAGTAAATCCGTTAACTCTGAATTGAAAATGGTAATCATACTTTTCTAGTTTTCTTTCCGCTTTGACAGGTCTGGTTTTCCTTTTTATAGATAGCCTGTATTTTATTCACCTTTTCAAATAGAAACCAACCGTGATTTCGCTCTTGTTATGTTGTGTCTATCACAAATTGAAGGTCTGTTTTTTTCCCATAATCTGAATTCAAAAATTATTCACTCTTTCTGCTTGCTCAAAATATGTTGAGCAAGGACAGAGAATAACTTTTAGCAGAGTCTGGAATAATATTAAACAGAACAAAACGTACATATGATACATTTCTATGTAATAAATCATTTCACTTTGAAAATATATAACCAAATAAGAATGTAGTACTAATTCATTGAAAGGAGTTGTTCAATTATTCAGATAACTACCCCCCACCATCCCCTTCCTGAGGCCTGACTAGTTATAAGGAATGTATTATCAGGAATTTATCTTGCTATTAAAACATTTTATTTGTTCATCAAATACAAGGCAGTTTATTGTTAAATAGTTAAAAAGCAAATTGAATTATATTTTGAAATTCTTCGAGATGTTTTCTACATTTTTTTGTTGAAAATAATGTATTGAAATATAACAGTTGTAGCCCCCTCAGAACGAATCACTCAAGTTAACCAATCAGCTACCGTTTGAATGTTTTGTATTGTACTAATTAAAATAATGTGCCTACAACTCATTTTATTCACCTGGTATAAATATGTATTATAGACTAATATAAGTTTGTCAGAAATATTAATTTACTTTTGTTCAGGCTGCAGCTGGGCTATGTATTGGCGTTGGGAGTTATAGTGACCCAATTGAGGTTCCTGGTATGGCCCATTTTCTAGAGCACATGGTATTCATGGGTAGTGAAAAATTCCCTGCTGAAAATGATTTCGACTCATTTATAAAGGTCTGTATATTTTAAACAAGTGAAAATTTCAGGCAGCTTGCTTGTCTTTATTTTTTTGAGAAAACGTCTTTCTATAACTGAAGATGAGAATTGACTTATTATAAATTTCTTTTTTAATTTACAGAAAGGAGGCGGTAGTGATAATGCATCTACAGATACAGAAAGCACTTGTTTTTACTTTGAGTGCCTTGAAAAGCATTTATTTGAAGCCTTGGATAAGTTTGCTCAATTTTTTATCTCACCTTTGATGAAGAAAAGTGCAATGACACGTGAAAGAGAGTCCATTGAATCAGGTTTGTAGTTTTTTTTTCATAATTACTAATCATGATTAGAATATTTTTAACGAATCTTGATTATGTGAAACAAAACACAAAACGTGTTTACTTTTATAATGAAGCACAGCAAATATATATGATGACTTGTGAAAACAATTTTTTGTTGCAACAATTATAATTGAAAACATGAATGCAGATAAATTTTGATAACTTGATAATCATTATACGTTTAGAACTGTACAACAAGTAATATCGTTTTATTTTAGAAAAAGCACAATGTAGTTTAAGAATGTGTAAGAGTTTTTTTTTACTATTTAAGAGCCGCCTGACTTGTCCATTTTTTCCAAGTCTCTGGAAAACCCTTCAGTATGTGCTACAAGTGCAGCCTGGATGACTGCAAAAATATTGTTCAACTTATTTGGATGAGCTCTCAAATTAATGTTCCTTGTGCATTGCAAGTTTGCAATCAGTTCTGCCTATAAGACTCATCTCGACTTTTCGTGATTTGTGACTTTAACCACAAAGTATGTGTCAAACATGAATTTCAATGTTGTGCGGTCTGATAATGTTTGAAGCCCCTTTCTTACTTCTTGACTAAAAAAATTGATATTTCATCTGTTCAAAGAATTATAAACAGTAATCAGGCCAACATTTGTCGAAAATTCAATTTTGTATTCTTTTTCGTTGCTAGAGAGAAAAACTTTCGGCTTTCTTACTCAGTCAATTTATATTAGAATTTCAGATGGCTTTACCTTCAGATTATTCTAGAAAAGAGCAGCTTCTTTGTAGTTTTGCTAAACCTGGAACACCTGCCAGTTATTTTTCATGGGGAAACTTGAAAACTTTGAAAGACAATATATCTGATGAGAAACTCTATGAAGGCGTGCACGAGTTTAGAAAGCGGCACTATTCTGCTCATCGTATGACACTTGCAATACAGGTTAGAATCTTCGTTCTTATCAATGTTGTTGGAATATTAGTATTATTTCTTTTTACTGTTCTGTACAATTTATCTTTATTCAGAGTTGAGAAATGTTTTGGCTTTCTACTTCTCCATCTTTATATTCAATTACAATACTTTATGCAAGAAAAAATCAGCAATAACTTATTAAAAATTCGGTGAAGCATTGTAGATATTGTTGAAATCTCGCAGTGTTGGGAGTGACCACTCTCACCATTTTTCAATTGTAAGAAAAAATAAGTACTTGAATTTACAATGTCCTCAAATAATAATCACATAGAACTATTTAGAAATAGAATAGAATAGAATAGAATATTTATTTACCAATATTTGATACAATAGTGTATATTTGGCACGTCACTTTAATATCACACACAAATAATATCACAAATGTCACAAATAAATGTAGAGTCATGTAACACAATGAATAAAAACTGAATCATCACATTTTCACACATGAACATATTTACAGATATGATCGTATAATATAACTTATACTTGTCAATTTCACAAAAAAACAGGTGTATATGAGACAAAACAAAATATTTGTCAGGTGTATATGGGATAAAACAAAATACTTACACTACACAAAAAGTTTACACAATGAGGAAATAATTTAGATTCCTCATTCCTCCTATTTTCCCTTTGACAGGTCATTTATTTCTATTTATAAACTCATCTATACTATAAAAAGCATTCAGCATCAAATATTTTTTTATTTCATTTTTAAATGAAGATAACGTCATTTCTTTCATAGGCTGAGGAACACAGTTATACAAAATAATACAGTTATAGTATAGAGAGTTTTTGAATGCAGCTGTTTTATGCCCAGGTATCGACAATAATTTTTTATGTCGTGTATCGTACATGTGCCTTTCCGCAGAGGTATTGAAAGAAAGTNCTTCGAATGACAGGTTCAGCCCCCAATTTTTTGAATGGGAAGTAAAGGTTTGTGATGTATCGTTTGAAAGGTCTCTTCATTCTCTATTCAAAAATGTTATCTCTTTCAAGTTTATTGCAACAATTAAAATTTAAAATCATGTGGTTACCGAAATTCTATAAAATACACTCGAAAACTTATTGCAATATACTCAAAACTTATTTCATGTTGAGATATTGATAATAAAAACCATAGCAATGTTCTTTTTAGATTGTATCCTTCGAAAAACTGAAAATAATTTCCATGGCAAAGTTAGTTTAAAACGCCTTGTCAACTTGTTTTGTATGTTACAACATTAGTTGTCAGTTTAAAATTCGTTAACTTCATGTCTGACAAATGGTTAGATTAACGGAAATGCATAAAATAACAGTATTACAAATAATTGGCTACGGACATAAAACTCGAACACAACAGGAAGTAGTGCGTCTATTTCATGAGAAATTTTCTTAATTTACCGCCCATTTCTCAAGGAACAATAAGCAAAATAGAAAAGGAGTTTCGCGAGCTTGGTCATGTGGGGCAGATAAAAAAAATAACTGCCAATGCAATGAGCGATGAACTCAAATTAGATATGATGCTTGAATTTGAACAAAGCCCACAAACATCGAGTAGACAGGCATCCACTACATTCAATACTAGCCATACATCGATATTAAACATATTAACAGAAAATAAGATGCATCCCTTTGAAATGATACCTACTCAGGAGCTCATGGAAGACGATTTTGATAGAAGAACTTATTTTTGTGAGCAAATGATAGATGTTATGTTTTCTGATGAGTGTACTTTGTCTCTTAACGGCCATGCTAATCGGCAAAATTGCCGCTACTAGTCAACGGAAAATCCTCACTGGATGAGAGAAGAACACACGCAATACCCTCAAAAGGTTAATTTTTGGGCAGGGATTGTAGGAAACCATATCATTGGTCCTTTTTTTCATTCAAGTTTAGCAAATTTATGTCCTGATCCAGAAAAACTTCAAGTTCCAGTGAATACGATATGGTTTCAGCTGGATAGAGCACAACCACATTACCAAGTTAATTTCTCAATCAGTGGATAGGGAGGCGGTGATAGATTGAATGGCCAGCGCGATCACCTGATCTTTCATCATTAACTTTCTTTTTATGGGGATATGTAAAGAGCAATGTGTACAAAACTAAACCTTCAGATGTGAATGACTTGAAAGAACGAATAACGCTTGCGATTAGGTCGGTCACACCTGATATGCTGAATAATATTAGCATTCTAAAATGTATTTATATTAATTAGGTTTCATAATTGTACCATTTAAAAATTACTCTTTTTAAGAAATACTTGTTTATTGTTACTTTTTTTTTACCGGCATGCAAATCAAAGAATTGTATGTATGTCAGACAAAAAAAAACAATGGATTACTTTTAGAAAAAGCAGTGGCGTATCTCTTTTCTCCTAGTTCAAAAGTTGAGACCTTTGGCAGTTTTTTTCTCAAAATGAACTCAAAAATATCCTCTGGCAAAAAAATTGATCTATTAAAAACACTTTTCTATATCAGAACAAAATTACTGCCTCTTGACGCGCGTTTCTCTAACCAAATCAGCGTCATCAGAAGATGACTAAAACTCTTAGCGTGGTTATCAAAACACGCATTAAGAGGGGCAGTATTTTTGTTCTTTGATTTTTTATAGAAATACTGTGTATTTTTATTTGAATATGATTGACATCCCTATTATTTTGAATAGATTCAATTTTGTCACAGGCACGCCTCCCTACTGAAACACTTCAGAGCTACGTTCTGAAATGCTTTTCCAAAGTACCAAGTAATGATCTACCGCCAAGTGACTTCAGTAGTATTGCAGCTGGAATATTCGATACACCTATGTTCAAAAGAATGTACTATGTGAAACCTATGAAGGATGTATGTCAGGTAATAAATAAATTCATATTCAAGGACAGAATGCTGGATTTTTGTTAAATTTTCAGGTGGATTTAACCTGGAGTTTGCCTCCTCTTCAACACGAGTACAAAAGTAAACCGGCCTATTATGTTTCCTTTTTAATGGGGGATGAAGGTAAAGGCAGCTTGTTGGCATATCTGAAAAAGAGGTAAGGTTCATAAGATTTCGATTGTACACATTATGTACAAGAGAACGCAGATGTTGCCTTCATAATTCCTTTAGGGTAACCTAAGAGTTTTTCATCTTGTCAGAATGTGGGCCATTACTACTTCAGTTGGAAATGGAGAATCGGGAAGTGAAGACAATTCCCTCTTTACACTTTTGAATGTGTCTGTTGTACTAACCGATGAAGGATTGAGGCATTTGAATGAGGTTAGTCACTTTTTCATGGTTATTTTTTCAAGTAAATGAATGAATTACCCTATTTTACAGTACGTTTTGTATACTTTTTCATTAAAGATTGTTGGTTCTTGTTCAAGTAGCTCTAAAGTGAAATTAACTGGGAAAAAAGGTTTCTACTTCTCAATCTTTATACAAAAAAGTGGGAATCTACTTACTAAAGAAAGGAAAGAAGCAATTAATTTCAGAAAAGGTTACTGTATACAAAGATGTGTAGATAATGCAATTGGACAATTACGATTATTTCAGGTAATAGAAGTGGTATTTTCTTACATCAACCTGCTGAAACAATTGGGACCACAAGAAAGAATTTATAATGAAGTCAAATCAATAGCAGATACTTCATTCAGATTCGCCACAGAGGAAACGGCAGTTGACACAGTTGAGGATTTATGTGAATCAATGCAAATCTACCCTCCAGAAGACTATATTGCTGGTTCTGAAATTTATTACGACTATAATCCAGAGGTATGTGAAATGTTTCTGTCCATTTAAAGAATATAATTTTCTAATGACTAAAGTCCGCAAATAACAACTTGTTTTTGTAAATATAGATATTTTTCTCAGGCAATCAAAATGGTTCTTGAACATCTTCAGCCAAGTAAAATGAATGTTATGGTTTTGTCCAAGAATTTGCCAAATGGTTTGAAATTTGATAAAATCGAACAGTGGTTTGGTACAGAATATACTGATATGGGTAAGTGTATATTTTTTTTAATTATTTCTTTAACAAAAACTATTTTAGAAATTCCAAAAGATCTAATAAGCAAATGGGAAAATGTACCGCCACATCCTGAATTAGATGTTCCTCCCCCCAACCCATATTTAACGAGTGATTTTACAATATTACCAGAAATACAAAATCATCCCGATTATCCACAGAAAATTAAAAGTGATTCCTTGTATGAGTTGTGGTACAGGAAGGATCAGAAGTTTAATCTCCCAAAATCGTTTCTGCAAATCTACCACAAAAACTAGAAATTGTAATATCTTGAATGATTTACCTTAGCTTCTTTTTAGGCCTTTGAAGTTAAATAGGTACTCGAAGTGTGAAATTTATTTTATCGAACAGCACTGACCCTTTCTCTGCTCGATATTTGTTCACTGAAGCCTCGCACTGTCGCTTCAATCGTCCTCTGTCCACCTGCAGGCCATTTCAATTGAACTATCGAAATTTACATGCAGGTTGTCCCAGTATCTCATAAATGAACTGTTACACATAATCTTATGCAAGAAGTGAATGTTTCGTCTTTGAAATTATCCAAAAAAAAGTGCTGATGAGTTGAAGATGAGAATTTTCAGCCTGAAACTTTTGAAGGTACACCTGAGGATGATAGATTTCCATGTAAGTGAAATTTTATCTCTGCACTCTCTCTCATATGACGTTGTGTAGCGTTTCTGTGAATGATTAATTTATATTTTCAAACGGGTTACCCCAATACAGTTAAGAAATTACAAAAAAATATCAAAATATCTAAATTATATATACAGGGTGTAACATAAGTACGTTAAAATATTCAAGTGACGTATTCCTGAGACAATTTTAAGAAAAAAATTCTATATAAACTTGTGTCCGAAAATGCTTCGTTTCAGAGATACGGGGTGTTGAAATTGAATTTTTTTGTTCGCTTTTTGAAAATAACTCTTGCAAAAAATAAGTTATTTG